TAAAAACATACAAACGTAAAGTCATAGAAACATCAGATTATTGGTGAATGTTTCACGATTTTGTTTCTTAATCAGCCATGGATTTAAAGGAACTCAGTGTTTCAGCTGTTTTGCAGTTTTCTGGTCGTTTGTTCCAGATTTATGGTGCATAGATGCTGAAAGTGGACGTCTGATTCGAAAACCTTCAAATTTTACTCAAGTTAGAGAAACAATAGTTCAACACATTTTACTCAAGTAAATGTAAAAAGTATCATTTGAGGAAATGATTCAACTAAGAGTAGAAAAGCATTTGGTGAAAGGTTTATTCAAGTACTGATCAAAACATGAATCATGTTTTCATCAGATGCAACAAAATATAAAGTTATCTGGAAATTTTTCACCAAAATGAAAAATTTTTTTTTGTAAAACTGCTACAATTAGTGGAAGTAAAATTTCTCCAAATCTTTTTCTTTCAACATAAAGTTTCTGAAACATTAACAAAACATTTGTTAATGTTTTTTCTGTCTGGAGAATTTATGGTTAATTTTGCAAATTGCTGTAATAATTTTGCAGTTTTTTCTACGTGGCTGTTGCTGTGAATCTCAGAGAATTTGGTTTTCTGGAGAAACGTCACCTTGTTGTGTCCAGCAGGTCTTACCGTCTGCAGGAGGATGATGAAGGTGATGATGATGATGAAGGTGATGACTCTGGAGCTGTTGGGTCGACTTGGCGTCTCCGTCCGGATGCTGCTGCTGCTGCGTCTGTCCGTCTCTGCTGGATTAAATCTACCTGCAGAGGAGGCGGCGACAGCGATGATTGGCCAAACACCTGGGACAGGTATTTGCCTCGGGCTCATTCTGTTCTTAGGAAGGTCATTTGTACTGATGGTGAGGCAGAACGCCAGCAAAGGAAAGTCACTGAACCAGAAAAGTGATGCTCATAACTCAGTGACAACATAACATTTGTTTTGAGCTTCAACGTCCATCAGGACACCAGAGGACATTTACAGGATTGTCCAGGAATGTGTTAGAAAAGGAGTGGATCCTAAAATGCATCATCGTCTCAAATGTTTATGATATTTCCTGCAGTTGGTGTTTTGTTGGCTCTAGTGTCTCTAATATAAAAGCAGGAAGACAGAAAAGGGGGGAAGTTATGCTGCAAATATGGGTTGGTCCAGGAATGGAACCTGCGACGGCCGCATCGATGACTCAAGGCTTCCCAATGTGGATCAGGGTGTTCCCTACGCCTCCACAATACGTCATAATTACCTCAAATATGCAGCAAATATGAGGAAGAAGAGCAGAAGAATGAAGGCAGTGAATAAAGCTGGTGATTAACAGGTGCAGCTCCCAGGAACCAGTGAGACTCAGGTTGTTGTTTGGTAACATTTCAACCTGATGCTGAACTGAAATGACCTCAGTAGGACTTTTATAATGTCACTTCAGTTTTTATATCAAGTTTCTTCTGTCCTCAGTGTAAAATCCAGTCTCTAACTGGAGACATACTGGGCTGACTGGGCTCTTCCCAGTGGGCCTAAAGGCTGCAGGTTGCAGAGTCTCAAATGCCACGTATCAAACGCCTTTGTGACATCACTTCCGCCCGGTCAGGCAGCAGAACCGCCGGCTGACCCTGAAGAGCAGAGATCAGAAGAACCCGTCCCACTGAACCGGGCCGACGAGGAAACGGCCTCTGAGGTCAGTATTACAAACTCAACGATGTTCATGAAGCAGAAAAGCCTCGTCTGGCCGTCTGCTGCTGCTGAGTCAGGAATGAAGATCCATCCTTCTGTCTCCAGAACCGGGCTGCGGCCCGGTTTCCAGAACCGGGCCGCAGCCCGGCCTCCAGAACCAGGCTGCGGCCCGGCCTCCAGAACCGGGCCGTGGCCCGGCCTCCAGAACCGGGCTGCAGTCGGTTCCAAGTCCAGCTTCTGATTCGGGGACGGCTAAAGGGCCATTCCACATCTTTAATTGCACAATATTTCGAACCATGTTTGGGATTCATGAAACCTTTTTCTGATTGGTGAAACTTCACTGCAGTCCAGATTACCATTCACACTTGCTCTGTGCAGATTTGTTCAAATTCACTTCTAATTCAAAACCACTTTATTAATCCCAAAGGGAAATTAAATGCAGCTCATTAAGCCTTTAAAGAGTTCAAAGGTCAATGCCAGCCCATGCTGCCGGGCCTGATGCAGCGCAGCGGCTCCAGCTCGTCCTGCAGGTCCGGACCAGCGCTGTCCGGGCCTGAGGCAGAATCTCATTTAGATATAAGATTGATTGACAAACTATTGACCGTTGGACTTGGTTTCTCTTTCTCTCTTTGTTTTCCAGCAGGGGGTCCAAGTCAACCTGACACCAGCTTCATCAACGTTGGGCAACGTTTTGCCGTCGTGCAAACCGGTTAGAACCGGTTGTGGAGAAATGTGCTGAGGAGAAAAACTTGGACTTGCGCTGCGAAAACTAGTTTTTAATGTCAGCGTTGGTTATTTGGGAGAAGACAGAGGTAAGGGTGGAGTCATGTGGTGCAAAACATCAACATATATCCCGGGCCTGGACTGCGCCGACCAGCTGCTACAGCTGCTGACAGCAGCAAACCTGCATGGAGTCACGTTTATAAAACCACCAGGTCCAATGCAGAATGAGCAGGAATCAAACACGGCCGCATCGCATCAAATTCACATTAAATACGGATTAATTTAAAGAGGTTAAAATATTTAAACAGTTTGGTTTCTGTCAGCTCTGTCAACATGCAACAGGAGATGAAAAAAACACTGGACAGATGATTTAATGTTACATAGACGCCTCTGTAGGAGACATACAGAGTTTGTTTATTAAGTATTTTATTGTATTTGATGCTCATAACTCGGTGACAACATAACATTTGTTTTGAGCTTCAACGTCCATCAGGACACCAGAGGACATTTACAGGATTGTCCAGGAATGTGTTAGAAAAGGAGTGGATCCTAAAATGCATCATCGTCTCAAATGTTTATGATATTTCCTGCAGTTGGTGTTTTGTTGGCTCTAGTGTCTCTAATATAAAAGCAGGATGACAGGAAAGGGGGGAAGTTATGCGGCAAATATGGGTTGGTCCAGGAATGGAACCTGCGACGGCCGCATCGATGACTCAAGGCTTCCCAATGTGGGTCAGGCTGTTCCCTACGCCTCCACAATACGTCATAATTACCTCAAATATGCAGCAAATATGAGGAAGAAGAGCAGAAGAATGAAGGCAGTGAATAAAGCTGGTGATTAACAGGTGCAGCTCCCAGGAACCAGTGAGACTCAGGTTGTTGTTTGGTAACATTTCAACCTGATGCTGAACTGAAATGACCTCAGTAGGACTTTTATAATGTCACTTCAGTTTTTTATATCAAGTTTCTTCTGTCCTCAGTGTAAAATCCAGTCTCTAACTGGAGACATACTGGGCTGACTGGGCTCTTCCCAGTGGGCCTAAAGGCTGCAGGTTGCAGAGTCTCAAATGCCACGTATCAAACGCCTTTGTGACATCACTTCCGCCCGGTCAGGCAGCAGAACCGCCGGCTGACCCTGAAGAGCAGAGATCAGAAGAACCCGTCCCACTGAACCGGGCCGACGAGGAAACGGCCTCTGAGGTCAGTATTACAAACTCAACGATGTTCATGAAGCAGAAAAGCCTCGTCTGGCCGTCTGCTGCTGCTGAGTCAGGAATGAAGGTCCATCCTTCTGTCTCCAGAACCGGGCTGCGGCCCGGTTTCCAGAACCGGGCCGCAGCCCGGCCTCCAGAACCAGGCTGCGGCCCGGCCTCCAGAACCGGGCCGTGGCCCGGCCTCCAGAACCGGGCTGCAGTCGGTTCCAAGTCCAGCTTCTGATTCGGGGACGGCTAAAGGGCCATTCCACATCTTTAATTGCACAATATTTCGAACCATGTTTGGGATTCATGAAACCTTTTTCTGATTGGTGAAACTTCACTGCAGTCCAGATTACCATTCACACTTGCTCTGTGCAGATTTGTTCAAATTCACTTCTAATTCAAAACCACTTTATTAATCCCAAAGGGAAATTAAATGCAGCTCATTAAGCCTTTAAAGAGTTCAAAGGTCAATGCCAGCCCATGCTGCCGGGCCTGATGCAGCGCAGCGGCTCCAGCTCGTCCTGCAGGTCCGGACCAGCGCTGTCCGGGCCTGAGGCAGAATCTCATTTAGATATAAGATTGATTGACAAACTATTGACCGTTGGACTTGGTTTCTCTTTCTCTCTTTGTTTTCCAGCAGGGGGTCCAAGTCAACCTGACACCAGCTTCATCAACGTTGGGCAACGTTTTGCCGTCGTGCAAACCGGTTAGAACCGGTTGTGGAGAAATGTGCTGAGGAGAAAAACTTGGACTTGCGCTGCGAAAACTAGTTTTTAATGTCAGCGTTGGTTATTTGGGAGAAGACAGAGGTAAGGGTGGAGTCATGTGGTGCAAAACATCAACATATATCCCGGGCCTGGACTGCGCCGACCAGCTGCTACAGCTGCTGACAGCAGCAAACCTGCATGGCTGCGGCCCGGCCTCCAGAACCGGGCTGCGGCCCGGCCTCCAGAACCAGGCTGATATAAAAACTGAAGTGACATTATAAAAGTCCTACTGAGGTCATTTCAGTTCAGCATCAGGTTGAAATGTTACCAAACAACAACCTGAGTCTCACTGGTTCCTGGGAGCTGCACCTGTTAATCACCAGCTTTATTCACTGCCTTCATTCTTCTGCTCTTCTTCCTCATATTTGCTGCATATTTGAGGTAATTATGGCGTATTGTGGAGGCGTAGGGAACAGCCTGAACCACGATGAGTCATCGATGTGGCCCGGCCTCCAGAACCAGGCTGCGGCCCGGCCTCCAGAACCAGGCTGCGGCCCGGTTTCCAGAACCAGGCTGCGGCCCAGTTTCCAGAACCAGGCTGCGGCCCGGCCTCCAGAACCAGGCTGCGGTCCGGCCTCCAGAACCGGGCTGCGGCCCGGCCTCCAGAACCTGGCTGCGGTCCGGTTCCAAGTCCAGCTTCTGATTCGGGGACGGCTAAAGGGCCATTCCGCATTTTTAATCGACTCTGGTTTAAAAACCACAAACTTCAAACCGGGTTGGATTAAAACCGACATACTGAAGCTTTTTATGAGTGAAAACAATATTTCAATCTTTCAGCTCTTCAGCTCTGGCCTTCATGTTTGCTGCTTTGAGTCGTTTCTCTTTCTATTTTCAGCGGCATGCTGGACTTCCTGGGTTTCTTCTTCTGTGGTAAGGACTGATTCTCCTGCCACCACTGCTGAGCAGCCTGCAGGTCGGTGAGTGAGGGCCGGATTTCTCCTGAGGGTGGAGCTGGAGGGACGAGGGGCGGAGCTTTGGGGGCTTCCTGAGTCTCGCTGTGAGAGGCATCGTTGTGTCTCTGTGTCGGAGCGTGAACGCCGCTCTGTCCACGCGGCGTGTTTGGGTGCGGCGCAGCGTCTCTGCTGCCGTGCAGCCGCGGGTTCGGGTTGGCGCTGTGCCGATTGCGGCTGCGCAGGGAGCTGAACACCATGGCGCAGCCCAGAACGGTGCAGCGGTGTTTGATCTGCAGGTGGACGGCGTTGTAGTGGATCTTCAGGGTTCCTGAAAAGAAACGCTGTTAGCATCGGCCATTTTATTTAGCTTAGCACAGTCGCGTCAGGACGTTTGATTTAGTTTGGCCTGTTCTGCTAAATATTCACAGAACTTTTGTTTCTTTACATATTTGTTAAAACTGTTGCCATGTTGACAGTTTGATACGAGACAAACAATCTGAGAAAAATATGTGACTCTTCTGCTGTCAATCATCCTACTTCTGGTGCTTCTCATCCCTCTATCTATGCTACGTTGCAGCTAGCACTGTCTGTCGTGGATGCTATGCTAGTTAGCATAGACACTGATGGTAAGGCATCACATTTAGTAGCGAATGCATGTGCTTGATTGACAGCACTAAGCACCGCCTCTGTTCAATAATCTTGTAGTTATTTTAAAGATTTCATGTTTGTGGATGTTTGTAGTGACGTTTGTTAGCAGTGAAACTCTTTCATCCATTATGCAGTTGACCTTAACTTTGACCCCGTTGTGTCATGTTCGCTCACCTTTGTCGTAGAAGCTTTTGCCACAGACGCCACAGCTGACCCGGCCCTTCCGGCCCCCGGCAGCCAGGAGGGAAGGGAAGGAGCAAAGCGAAGACGGGAGAGGATGGAGGGACGAACACGGCGCAGGGACAGGGAGGAGAGGGGAAGAGAAGGAGGGAAGAGGTCTTAGGAAAGAGGAGGAGAAGGAGGGAAGGGTCTGAGGATGTTGTAGGCGAGAGGAAGAGGAGGAGGAGGAAGGTGGAAGTGTGAAGTTGAAGGAAGAGGAAAAGGAAGCAGTTTTCTCTCTCTTCTGGAGGAAAACCCGGTCCTGGTGGAGGACGGGGTTCTGTTGCCACTGTGAGGGATTTGAGTTGTCCGGGTCGGTTTTTATGGACAAGGCCGGTTCTGATCTCTGCCGTTCAGAGTCGACCTCCCCACATCGAAGCAGTTTGTGTTTCCTGAAATCCTGCAGGACGTTTTGCAGCTCAGGAAATAAACCCTGCAGAAAGAAGTGGAGCGAAATCTAAAAGATGCTCTGCATGACGGAAACACCAAGGATCAAGAATCACCACCTTGGCTGAACGGCAGGCGGCCGATTGTGGAAAATGGAAAGACAGGAGGACCGACTGTCCGGCCGGGACGTTTTCTCTCAGAGGGGAGGTCTGCAGAGCAGACGCTCCGTCGTTGGAACCGGACTGGACGTTTCTCACCGGACCGTTGAGCCGCAGCTCAGGCCGCAGCTCAGGCTGCAGCTCAGGCCGCAGCTCAGGCCGCAGCTCAGGCTGCAGCGCAGGCCGCAGCTCAGGCCGCAGCTCAGGCCGCAGCTCAGGCCGCAGCTCAGGCCGCAGCGCAGGCTGCAGCGCAGGCCGCAGCTCAGGCCGCAGCTCAGGCCGCAGCGCAGGCTGCAGCGCAGGCCGCAGCTCAGGCCGCAGCTCAGGCAGCAGCTCAGGCCGCAGCGCAGGCTGCAGCGCTTCGCCCTCCAGCTGCTGCAGGATCATCTCCTCCACGATGGGCCGCGTCTCTCCGAAGCGCAGGAACTGTCTGAGGAGCAGCAGCTGCTCTCGGGGCGTGGCCGTGTCCCAGCGCTCCAACACGCCCCCACCAGGACGCTGCAGGAACAGCAGACATGAAGCCTGTCAGACGCTGCTGACTTGAAATGATCTCCATAATGCCTGGCTCAACGGTTCCTGTGAAGAATTGAGTCTTACAATCAAGTTGTAAATAAATTATTGTGCTTTAATTGCTTTTTACACAGATTTATTGTGGCTTGTAGACGTGGGATCCTGATTGGCTGAAGCTCAGAGAATCATTTAGATTTTATTTTTAGTTATACAACAGTAAGATATGTCTCACCTTACACACAATGTGTAGTAAATATCTGACTGCTTTGCCTTCTTCATGACAACTAAATGAATAGAAAATACCCTTTAGGAGGATCCTGATGATTTTCTTGTTTTCTGGGATGAACTCTTTTCATTCACTGAGTGAATGAATCAAAGATGCTCTGGATCTGCAGCTTCTGGACGTTAAATAAGAAACGTTTCCATCACTGGGTTTACCTGCAGCATGTATCCTCGGACGTAATCACCCAGAGTCCAGCCCAGACCGGTCAGGATCTGGCCCACCTGAGGCAAAACAAGCAAACGATCAAACCCGACCAGCACCAGAACCAGACCCAGACCCAGAACCAGACCCAGAACCAGACCCAGAACCAGAACCAGCACCAGAACCAGACCCAGAACCAGAACCAGGCCCAGCACCAGCACCAGCACCAGACCCAGAACCAGCACCAGACCCAGCACCAGCACCAGCACCAGACCCAGAACCAGAACCAGAACCAGAACCAGACCCAGACCGGGTTCATGGGTCACCTGCTCTGGAGGCAGGACGCTGTACAGCCGGTCCAGTAAAATCTTCAGCTGGACGGGAACGGCCTGAGCCCCGAACAGAACCAGGGAGCTCAGGTCAAACACCGGACCCGGCAGGGCCACCTCCACCGGGCCGGACGCCGACCGGGCCTGGACCTTCTCCAGAGCTGAGAGGAGAAATGAGACAAAGTGAGTCAGGAGACAGTCTGAGGGAACGAGCAGAACCACAGCAGAACCGGAGCAGAACCACAGCAGAACCACAGCAGAACCGGAGCAGAACCGGAGCAGAACCACAGCAGAACCACAGCAGAACCGGAGCAGAACCACAGCAGAACCGGAGCAGAACTGGAGCAGAACCGGAGCAGAACCACAGCAGAACCACAGCAGAACCGGAGCAGAACCACAGCAGAACCACAGCAGAACCGGAGCAGAACCACAGCAGAACCGGAGCAGAACTGGAGCAGAACCGGAGCAGAACCACAGCAGAACCACAGCAGAACCGGAGCAGAACCACAGCAGAACCACAGCAGAACTGGAGCAGAACCACAGCAGAACCGGAGCAGAACCGGAGCAGGTGTTGATGATAAACCTGACAACACCTGATCCAGTGTTTGCATGACCCAGATGTTTCATCAGATGTTCCTGACGACACGATTACAGCAACACCTGACTCCACGTCAGCGCCGAGTCGGAACCAGCTGCAGGCTGAGCCGTAAACCCAGGAAACAGAACCGAACATCCAGAATGTTCTGCTCAGATTTCTGGGGCGGTTCTGGAGTTTGTTAGAGTTGCAGGTTTTTGCTTCTTGTCAGATTTAGATGATCACTGTGACATAAATCTGTCTCATGTTTTCTGACCCGTTTCTGACGTGCTGAGCGTTAATGCATCAGATCATCAGGCAAAAATATTTCCAAGATTCTTCAGACTAATGAAATATGCCAATCATAACTGCAGAGATGCTTTAGAAACAACCTGAGACGATTGAACTCCATTAATCTTTTATATTCTATGCATTAATGTTGATACTTTCTATTTTTAGTCATTTATTATTATTGGAGCCTCAGAACTGAATTTCAGTCAATATGTTTATTCTAAATGTGCAGCTGGATAAAATCGGTCCAATTAAAGCTCTGCAATAAAATAATCTACAAGTTTCACGTCTATAATCCACCATAATCTGCTCTGAAAACATTCATATGCAAACATTTCTCACAACGTTTTCACCATAACTTCCATCATCTTTTTTAGTTGCAGGAGTTTTTAAAGCAAACGTAAAATCAGCAGGAATTAAAAACTGAAGCAAATTAATTCAACCAACAAGATTTAAACGTTTAGTTGTAGTGGAACTCGATGACGTTGTTCCTTCTTGCATTTAGAACTGATAAAGTTTGCGTGTTTTTACCGTGCTCCACCCAGCCGTGTCCGCAGCGATCACATGACCTCAGCTTGACCTTTCCGGGTTTAAAAGAGGCGCAGCTGCAGGACGGCGCGCTGCACCTGACGGACTGACGGACACAGATCAGCTTTCTGTCCTTTAGTGAAACGTTAAAGAGAAACTTCAGCGTTACTTTAACGTTTACCTGCGGAGCATTCGGAGTCGTCCTCATTCCTTCATCCTGCAAAATAAAATCAAACATCAGCAGTGATCAAATTCACCTTTCAGCTGGAAAACGAGAAAATGAAACAGAAATTAATTAACATCTACAGGCTCAGATTCAGCATAATATCAGGCAAATTTATTTCACCTAAATATTTAAAATAACATGAAAAGTAAAAGTTGTATAAAATCAATTAACAATTCAAAAAATAAAATGAAAGTATTTTAAAATTCTTGTTTCTGCAAATTTACTTTCACTATAAAACAAATCCAGATGATCACTAACATTTTTATTTATTGATTCGTTTTACTGTAAAAACTGAAAATGAAAAAAAAATCCAACTTTCATTTTTAAATTACTTAAATTTACTTTTAATCTCACATTTTTTCATGCAGGACAAAAATTCAGTTAATTTAGAAACAAATGCAGAAAATGTTCTATAAACTGTTAAATTCACTGAAACAGTAATAAAAAAAATTATATAAAAAAAGTAAAACTGTGAAATTTGAAGGTTTTAAAAATAGTATTTTAGAAGCTTCTTTATAATTTTACCTTTATTGAGCTGATGAAAGAAGAGCTGCAGATTCTTGTGAAATATTTTCTAATTTTCTTCCAGTTCTTTGGCTTCGCGATCAAACTGCAGGTTATTCTTCCTCCTCCTCTTCCTCGCCTCTTCGTCGCTCCCTCCTCTTCCTCCTCTCCATCTCTGGACGTTTCTTCCTCATCTGAGCTTCGAACACGTTCTGGTTTTTATTTTGCCTCGACTCCTCCCTGCAGCTGAACACGATTGGACAAAAACCAAAACATAACCAAACTTGTTTATTAACGTTTTTCCTTTGATTTGATTGCAGATGAAAATACTGATTCACATTCCAGCATAAAAAGATGAAATAACTGAAGCTCCAGATTTCAGATCAACAACAGAAAACGTTGATTTGAGATCAGAAGTCAGAGGAAAGCAGAAATCCTGGTTTTAAATGTAAAGATTTCACTGAGTTTATGAAGCTTATTAGCGATTATTTAAACCCAGTTTTAATAAAACGCATCATGTGATCTGAAATGACGACTCAGCGTCGGATCAGGAGATGAAAACATGAAACGTTGAAGAGCCCAGTCGTCACTGCTGGTCAAAAGGTTTAGAAAATACTAATTTTTCATGTTTTTAATGAAAATGAAGCAGCTCAATGTCTACCACCATCACTTCCAGTACAGGGAAGTGATGGTGGTTATAATTCCTGATGAAACAGACGAACACATGGCAGCGTTTCCTCCAGAGCAGAGCAGAAAGTGTTTGAGGGATGCAGCTCCGTTATCTTGTTCTCTGTCCTGACTTCTGGCTCAGTTTTGGCTCTTTATGCTGAAAACTTCTGACTTTCACTTCGATAGAAAATCTGTTTTTGAATATTTGTTAAAACTTTCACCATGTTGCGAAGGTTTGTTATGAGACATAATCTCTGGGCTGCTATTGCCATCTGCTCCAAAACCAGCCAATCAGAACCAGGAGGAGGGTCTCAGCGCTGTCAATCATTCCGGTGTACTCACTACTAAATGCGCAAATGTTGGAGAAACAACTCATTATAACAGGAAATTCATTTATGCATCATCATGGCAGAGCATTCGCAGCAGGATCTGCTGATGGGAAAAATCTGGCAGCGCTATTTGAGATGGTGACTGACAGCGCTAAGACCCGCCTCTGCGCTCTGATTGGTTGTTTCTAGTTAGAGCTGGGAGAAGACAGAGGACTCAGATAATCTGCCACAACGTGATGACAGTTTCATCCAATACTGATTCGCTCAAAGTCACATATTTAAGCTTTAACTGTCTGTAAGCTCTTCGATCCATCTGAAAATTGGTACAAACAAAGTTTGGGACATTAATCAGTGTGAAGACTTTTCTGTTCCAGAGGTGGAATAATCAGGAACCATCCAATAAAAACATGACTTTCTGCTCCAGAGGAGGCAGTTTGTGTGAAATCTAGTGAATGTTGTTTGAACCTGCTGTCCTCAGAAAGCAGACTTTGGTGCTGAGATGAGATGACCTGGAAAAGTTCTGGTAAACACTCACAGAGACAGAGGCGTTGTTGGACAGGCATCCTGTCCTCGGGGAGCCGCAGACCTCCTTCCTGTTTTGATGTAGCACTAATTAGAATATCAGACGATAACGTCCCGTCAGCCAGAAATCACCGCCGCTCGCTGACACAGTTCAGGATCAGAGCGTCTCCGCGGGCCGGGCTTCAAACGCAGCGCCGGATCACCTGATGGGCGGGACCAGCGTCCTGGTCCTGGTTCTCAGAACACGGACTTTCTGGAAACTTATTAGATTTTATTACAGGAACCAGAGAAAACAACAGAATTAAAGTGGGGCTAAAGTTTTCCTGCTTTAGGTTCACAGAACCGGAGTGTCTGGGTCCGGTGTGCAACAAACAGACTCTGATGTTCTTAAAGGGCCAGTATGATATAAAATAGACTTTTTTGATTTTCACATCATGTTATAAAGAAACCTGTAGTGTTGCTTTAATCTCCATGGCAACCATTCATCAGTGCAAAATGCCTGGGTGGGCTTAGCCCCGCCTACAAGACGCAGCTCCTCCTCTGGACCGCAGTTTCCAAGTTCAAAGCGAAGGCCTCCAGTCTGAGGGCCACAAACGGCCCCCGGGCCACACGTTGGACACTCCTCTTATTTTTCTGACCATTTTAAAAATAAATCCTTCTCTCTTGATTCAGTCTGAGCTTTTCTGAGTCTGTTGGGTTTTAATTTGCGTTTTAAAGCCAACATCTCGTCTCGGTCCACAGGGACGTGTGTGACATGTGTGTCGCCTCCCTGTCCGTCACTTTTGTCATTTGTCGCCTCAACCGACGGCTTCAGCGGCGCCTGAGCTTAATTTTACATGACTACAAACATTTGAAGAGGCTCTTAGACTCGGAGTGGCCCCCAGGCCCCCCGGGCCCCCGTCCCGCCCCGCCGTATCTGTGCCACTGACGGAGCTGCAGGCTGCCTCTTTGTAGCGACGCCAACTTGGCTCCGATTCAGTCGCTGCGGTGGGGGAGGTGTGTGTTTAAAGACGAGGTGTGTGTGCTGTCACAGGTACAACTGGAGCAGCGAGGAAAATAAAGTTTCTGGAGTAATAATAAAAAACCTGAGGGAGATCCAGAAGTAAAACAGGACGCTGGCACCTCTGAGTTATTCCTTTTGTTCTCTGCTTTGTTTTGGCGCTCCAGATTTAATTTCACTCTTTTATTAATGACAGAGAAGTTTGAAGGTGGAAATCGAGGGACGCTGAAAAGAAAACTCTTCTCGACTTTTAATCCTATCAGCTTCAAACCAGAGGATGAAAGACCGTCATCCTCATCCCTGCTGGACTTTTAAAGAATCGTTTTTCACATTAAACTTCAAGCAAGAAAGGAAAAAAGTCACAGAGCAGCTCATTTATTTACACTGGACTATCTGGTCATTTTTCTTTGAAAAAAGACTCAAATCCATTAAACTTTAAGTCAAAATGTGAAATAATCCAACCTTTAACAGAGCTCTGGTTATTTCTATCAAACTGCATCAGAGACTTTATTTTGCATTTTCACTGTGAGCCTCCAAAAATGACGGGACAGTTTGACGTGTTCGTGCAAATTTTGAAGTATTGCCACAGAAAAAATGGATGGAAACAACAAAAATTGAAATAATTCCCTCAATTTTTCAAAAAAATGTTTTTGGGTTTTTCAAATAAAGAGTTGATGCTCTAAAAAGACGGAAACATTTTCTGAAGAATTTCTGATGCAGCAAATTCTGCCGTCCACTGCTGGGTCTGTGCCTTACCACAGGCATGAAACATGGAGAAAGGTCAAAGTTCACACCTGCAGCTTGCAGATTATTTAGGCAGAACTAAGAACGCAAAAAAAATAAAATTCCAAGAATAAAGTGGTAATATTCTGCTATCAGTAATAGAATAGAGTCAATAATATGAGAATAAAGGTGCAACACTCTGAGGATAAAGTTGAAACGTTTCTGACTTTTTTCTCGGCTGTTTTTGTCATTTGGACCCGAAACTCCGACTACCAGCTCGGACTTCTGGACTCGGACAGTTTTTGCCACCAAACCAAAAACTTTGAGCAGAATGAGGATTTGAGTCAGAATCAACTGAAGTGTTTCTGTGTTGGTTTCAGACCTAAATCCTGTAAAGACCTTAAAGCCGAGCAGAATAAACGTCTCTCCGGGTTAATTTGGTCCACTGGGGCTTAATGGGCCCATGGCGGCGCTCAGGCCCGGTTCTGTAGGTGGAGGAGTGTCACTGCGGCTCCTTTCTCCTGTCAGTTTGGCGTCTCGGAGCGTCTCCAGACGAGGACGTGACCTGATGTTGATGTAAATCTGTGTCTCCACATAAAGGCTCCGTGTTGCTGCAGCAGCAGCAGGCGGAGCTGCAGCGCGTCTTTTAGTGTCACTGCGAGCCGCGGCGCCGCTTTGTTTCAGGATTATCCTCAGGAGGATTCAGGCGGCGTTCAGACTCCAACAGAGGAGGCTGCTGCCTCATCGCAAATTAAAGCCTAATCTGCTGCAGCGGCAGCTTGATGGGAGTGAACGCTTCCTGCTGAACCAGCAAATCTTCTCCGGAGAAAGAAGAAGAAAACAGCCAGGTGTCCCTGAGGGACTCCAAGAAACGACAGGAGAGCCAACGGCTCAGAGGGCCGCAGGCGAAACGCTACGGATGAAGGACGAGAAAAACTTCCACTTGAGGCATGAGCTTTAATCTTTATGACGGAGATTTAAGGGAAAAATTAAAGTATGAGAATAAAATGGTTTGAGAATAAAGTGGAAACAATACTGGAATAAAATCGCAATAATATGAGAATAAATATTAAGAATAAAGTTAAAATAACAGGTGGAGGTTCAGTTTATCTCATGTTACAATTTAAGACAAAATTGTTTCTGAGAGGAAAACATTTTTAACAAAACCAGTAAAAACTACTGATGGTTCCCAACATGTGAACTCACTTCATTAACTGATTGAACTCTGAACCAGTATAAACCAGTTTATACCAGTTTAAACCTGTTTGAACCAGTTTAGACCAGTATAAACCAGTTTAGACCAGTATAAACCAGTTTAGACCAGTATAAACCAGTTTAAGCCAGTATAAACCAGTTTAAACCAGTTTAGACCAGTATAAACCAGTTTAGACCAATATAAACCAGTTTAGACCAGTATAAACCAGTTTAGACCAGTATAAACCAGTTTAAACCAGTTTAGACCAGTATAAACCAGTTTAGACCAGTATAAACCAGTTTAAACCAGTTTAGACCAGTATAAACCAGTTTAAGCCAGTATAAACCAGTTTAAACAAGTTTAAACCAGTTTAGACCAGTATAAACCAGTTTAGACCAGTATAAACCAGTTTAAGCCAGTATAAACCAGTTTAAACCAGTTTAGACCAGTTTAAACCTGTTTAGACCAGTATAAACTAGTTTAAACCAGTGTAAATAAGGTTAGACCAGTAAACCAGTTTAACCAGTATAAACTAGTTTAAACCAGTTTAACCAGTATAAACTAGTTTAAACCAGTTTAGACCAGTATAAACCAGTTTAGCCAGTATAAACTAGTTTAAACCAGTTTAGACCAGTTTAGCCAGTATAAACTAGTTTACACCAGTTTAGACCAGTATAAACCAGTTTAGACCAGTAATAAACCAGTATAGACCAATATAAACCAGTATAAACCAGTTTAGACCAGTATAAACCAGTATAAACCAGTTTAGCCAGTATAAACTACTTTAAACCAGTTTAGACCAGTATAAACCAGTTTAAGCCAGTATAAACCAGTTTAGACTAGTTTAAACCAGTTTAGACAGTATAAACTAGTTTAAACCAGTTTAAACCAGTTTAGACCAGTATAAACCAGTTTAGACCAGTATAAACCAGTTTAGACCAGTTTAGACCAGTTTTTAAACCAATTTAGACCAGTATAAACCAGTTTAAACCAGTATAAACCAGTATAAACCAGTATAAACCAGTTTAGACCAGTATAAACCAGTTTAGCCAGTATAAACCAGTTTAAACCAATTTACCAGTATAAACCAGTTTAAACAGTATAAACCAGTTAAACCAGTATAAACCAGTTTAGACCAGCATAAACCAGTTTAGACCAGTATACACCAGTTTAGACCAGTATAAACCAGTTTAAACCAGTATAAACCAGTTTAAACCAGTTTAGACCAGTATAAACCAGTTTAGACCAGTATAAACCAGTTTAGACCAATATAAACCAGTATAAACCAGTTTAGACCAGTATAAACCAGTTTAGACCAGTATAAACCAGTTTAGACCAGTATAAACCAGTTTAGACCAGTATAAACCAGTTTAGACCAGTATAAACCAGTATAAACCAGTTTAGACCAGCATAAAACCAGTGTAAACCAGTATAAACCAGTTTAAACCAATTTAAACCAGTTTAGACCAGTATAAACCAGTTTAGATCAGTATAAACTAGTATAAACCAGTTTAGACCAGCATAAACCAGTGTAAACCAGTATAAACCAGTTTAAACCAATTTAAACCAGTTTAGACAGTATAAACCAGTTTAGACCAGTTTAGACAGTATACACCAGTTTAAACCAGTATAAACTGGTTTAAACCAGTCATCAGGTCCAGGTCTGACCTGAACCCTGGTTCTGTCGTCTGTTCCAGTTGCAGAATGCTGAGGTGAGTGATGCTCTGACTGGAGGAGACATGTTGAGGCTCCAGGGGAGGAAACGGGTTTCCAGCTGAGTCAGCGGCGCTGTGCGTGTCCCTCAGCAGCTGATGCGGCATCCTGGCCCGGAGCAGAGCGAGCGATGGGACCTTCGTCTGTCGTGAGCAGATCGTCTCATCTGGAGACGCGGCGGCGGCGGCTTGGGGCGCCGCGTCTGAGTGCTGACTCAGCAGAATCAAACGCTCCGACTTCAATCAGAAATAAATCCTGATCAGGTGGTTTGGTGTTTCCCTGAGGACTGGGAACGCTTCAGATGGATCTTAGGCTTCTCTGATGAAACTTTAACGGGAGTCCCGTTCAGTCCGGTTCCGTCCAACTCCAGTCCGTTTGCATAGAAAGTCCAGATCGTAAAAACAAAAAGTGAACTCTGACCCGTCTGGGTTCAGTTGAACTATAGTTTGCTTCAAATGCAAATGTGAACTCGAAGCGGACCGGAGACTTCTCCAAAAGCAGGAATTGAACCACAGTGCAGGGCATTCTGGGTAAATACAACCATGCTAGCCTAGCGCTAGCAGGAGAAAAACAGATAATCAGATCAATTGGTCCAATTGACGAGGATCAGGCAGAGGATCGTTTTACAAACACCAGGAGTTTCCCTGACTTTAAACCGTTTATTTCACAAAATGGCCGACTCAACCTCTGACACGGGATGACATGAGGAGGTGGGCGTGGCCTCTGGGTGAAAAGCTGCTTTCTGTTTGTCATCTGAAGTCTGAGAATTGATCAAGCTAAATATTGTTTGGGCTCTAGGGGGCGCCAACAACAGACGACACGTCCCAAACGTCAAAGCTGTGAGTTCAGAAACAATTTCTAACATTTTTATGGTCTAAAATTCAAATCATGACTAATGAAACTGATTATGGGTTTAATCAGACGCGGCCCGTCTGGGCTAGGGTCCGGGGTTAAAGGTTAGGGGTTAAAGGTTAGGGTCTGATAACCGCTCACGGCTTCTTTTCTCCATCCTGGTCATTTTTTTGTTTTTTAGGAGAATTTCATTTCTTGACTTTATTTCTTTCATTTCTATTCTCTTTATTATCTCAGCAGGTTTAAAAACTCAACAACTTCTCAAATATGTTTTATCTTTTTTGTTTTTTTCTTGTTTTGTGTCTTCCTGACTTTGTTTCATTCGTCTGTTTTTTCAGCTTCCTGTCTCTCCCAGAATTTGCCTTCTTTTCCTTTTTTACCCACTTTTCCCTTCTCATTTTGAATTAGGGATTCATTTGTTGTCGTCTGTTAATAAAAAATCGCATGAAGTTAAACTGACATTTAAATAACAGAAAGAGGTGAGAGTGAAATGTTTGGTTTTCTGGTACTGGAAGCAGGAACCTCCACAGGCTGATTCACGCTTCCTGGAGGCGAAACTTCCAGGTTGATCCCACATCAACCGAAAGCAGGAGCCAGTTTTTGTTCCAGCTTCCGATCAGAACAGTCGGGTCACATCTTCTCTAGAGACCGGCTTGTCAGAGAAGCCAGAGAGAGGAAGAAAGTCGCGTTTCTCCTCGTCGCCCTCCGGTCCAGCAAGAGCGTCCACCTCAAACAGAAACACCAACAGATTCTGACTCTTCATTCCAAACAGACTGGAAAATAAAAGGGCATCAACGCGGAACATGAATGAAGGTTTCTGTTTTCATATATTTAACAAGTTTGATGTCGTTGTTTAATCTGTCCAGGTGTTCAGGATAATAAAACCCTCTGGATGTGATTGACGTGGGAAAAAAAGAAACAAATTTAAAACTGATGTTCATGTGGGTAGAAATGAGTGAAAATTGTTCCAATAAGCCTAAAAAGCTGCAAAAATCAAATTCTAAGATGTTATTCCAAAACTGGTTAAAGTTGATCAATCTGATTAAAAATGAATTGTTCTGGAGAGGCTCTGGTAAAACGTGCAGCTATCAGGTTTCAGCTCAGATCTGAAAGCTTTTCTGTTTTTTAAACAGTGACGTGGGAAGCAAAGCCACTTCCTGTTGCCTGTTTAAATCAATAAAGATATAAAACCAAAGGTAAAAAGGAAGAACTAGTTCCTGAAGCTTCAGTTTGAAGGTGATGTCTTACGGGCATGAAGGCCAGGTTTTCCCGGAGGCAGGCGTCCTGCAGCTCGCCGCGCAGAGCGGTCACATGACTGTGGTGGGCGGAGACTTCCTGCTCCAGCCAGTCCATGCGGGAGCAGCAGGCCTGGTGGAGCTGCGAGACGGCGGACAGGAAGCTCTGCAGACGGAAAACGCAACGTGTTTACAAATCCAGGTTTTAACAAAAGCTTCATCTGGACAGTTTTACTGAAACTTCGCTGCATCCAAATTGTCTCATTTTAAATATAGCAAATGTTTTGAAACAAAAATACATTTATTCAATCGAGCCCACAGGAAAACAAGACGGCTTTATTTTACTATATCAAACATGCAAAATGTATTATGGTGTCGTATTACAGTGCAACGCCGAATATGTTGTTTGTAAGATTCTGGCAAAAACCAGAGAAATCTGGGAAATTTTCTAGAAAAAATATCTTATTTTTAGATTAATATCAGAAATTTTCTACAAGAACTTGGACACTTTTGAATTTCAAATTCAAACATTTTCTTTGAAATTATTTTCTAGAAGTGTCTAGAAAATAATTCCTAAGCTTTTGTCAGAAATGTTCGGCCCAAACACAACATGCTGAAAATCCCTGCAGGTTTTAGTTCTGTTATATATCTGGATTCTTTGGTTGGTAGTTTTCACGTTGCTACCTGACACGCCGCCACCTCAGGAGCTCCCATCAGGTGTTTCTCTTCGCTCATGTTCAGGTACTCCATGGTGAACAGCAGGGGGCGCCGCTGAGCGGGGGCAGAGTGCTGTGACAGGCCGAGACTCTCTCTGACCTGACAGAGTGCAGGAGTGTGTCACCGGCCGGGTTTCTCCAGGAAGTGTGTGAAGGTTTGGCTCTGCTCACCTGCTTGCAGCTCGACTCTGCAGCTTTGAGGCAGCGAACCACGAACTGCTGCCGCCTGGAAAAGCATCAGAAAACTCACTTTGGTTAAACTGATGGCGAGAATTGGCTTGTTTTCCACAGCGATTCTCCAAAACTATCACAGATAGGAACAAACATTTCCCCTCATGCTTTTCTCAAGACAACGACTTCTTGATAGTTTCTGCCTCCGGCCCTCGCACCGAGTCAGGATGCCTCTCAGGTCTCTGCTGTTAAAATCCATTTGTTCCTTTCCACTGTCGCCTCATGCTTGCTCAGGAGAACTTTATGCCAACTCCCCCAGCTGGCATAACAACCACATCAGACAAGACAATCCTCTCCTCCCCTCCCCTCCCCTCCCCTCCCCTCCCCTCCCCTCCCCTCCCCTCCCCTCCCCTCCCCTCCCCTCCCCTCCCCTCCCCTCCCTCCCCTCCCCTCCCCTCCCCTCCCCTCCCCTCTCCTCTCCTCTCCTCTCCTCTCCTCTCCTCTCCTCTCCTCTCCTCTCCTCTCCTCTCCTCCTCCTCTCCTCTCCTCTCCTCTCCTCTCCTCTCCTCTCCTCTCCTGTGTTACCTGAGTGCGTCCCTCAGCTGCTCCTCGGCTCTCTGTAGTTGCTGCTCCAGCTGCCTCTTCTCCTTCTGGACGCCTGCCAGCTGCTTACCCAGAATCCTCAGGGAGCTCTCTTTACGGCTCAGCTGATGGAGAAATGAGGCGACATTTAAAGGAGAAACGCTGACAGCTTCCTGAAGGTGGCGCTCTCTGATCTCTGCTCTAACAAACTCAGCAAGAAACATGTTCTTGTTGTGAATCCTTGCTCTAGTAAAGGCTGCAACTTCCTTTAAACTGATGTTTCTACCGGCAACGTCAAACGTCAAAGGGTGACACTTTGCAGATAAAAATATAATAAGTTCTCCACTGGAGCTGAAGAACGCAGTGAAGAAGCCATCAGATGGAAACTCTGCGATACACAACCAGATATTCCTCACATGGACGCTACGATCAGAGAACAAACAGCTGAAGTTGGTTTGTGAAAACGTCTTGCACATAGTTGCATAGCGCTGCTTCGCATGACTGAAAAAAGCTGATTTTTATTTATTTCATAATTTCCACCCAACCCGGTTCCTCCCGTACTCAGACCTGTGAACATGTTTCTTCATAAACGAGTCAAACAGAAAATCTTTTTTCTCCACACAGATCTGGTTACTTTGTTTTTCCACCAAGTAAAAAATACAGAGAATACTTTATAAATGTGCTGTAAATTAGACCAATTACGTCTCTTTAAAACAGAAACAAGTTCAGGGACGTTTCTTTGTATCGGATCCGAATCGACTGAAACTGAACCTCAGATATCAGAATCAGAGCATCATTAGTATCAATACTACACAGTATCGATACTACACAGTATCGATACTACACAGTATCAATACTACACAGTATCGATACTACACAGTATCGAAACAGCATAGGAAAAACACTCTGATAAGTAAATGTATTTCAAAAGTTACTGCTGATCTCAGAAACTACCCAGGATGTTAGGCGCTACCTGTTCTGCTCTCCCCCTGTTCTGCTCTCCACCTGTCTGGCTGCGTACCTGTTTGCTTTGGGCCAGTGTTCTGTTCCGAGGCCAGCTTGTCGACCCGGTGCTGCAGCAGCTGCAGCTGCCTGCTCTGCTCCTGGATCAGCTCCTGCGCCTCCTGCTCTCGGTTCAGGGAGAGCCTCAGCTCCTCGCAGGCGGTCTGGAATCGCTCCGTCGGAACCTGAGCACAGAAACACAACGTCAGACACGCAGCGGCTGTCTGAACAGAACCCAGTCCTCCTCCAAACTCACCATCAGAACCAGCTCCGCCCGCTCCTGCTGCAGCCCTTTCTTCAGGTGGGTCACCTCCAGCCGCAGGCTCCGCCTCTCCACCTCGGCGGAGTGCAGCCGTTGGCTGAAGAGCAGGAAGTGCTGCTGGAGGCCGGAGACCAGAGTCTGGCGGAGGGACATGAGGTCAGCGGAGAGAGAGGTTCTGCAGAACCAAAGTCCGAACCTCTACCTTCAGGGAGGAGCGCTCTGCCATCCGCTCAGCCGAACCGGAGGAAACACTGCGAGCTGATTGGTCCAGCAGCTGGTCCAGGAGGCGGGAGAACCCGGAGCGAGCGGCGGCCATGACATGAGCGGGGGAGGAGTCTGGAGAGAGAGGCGGGCTCTGAGGGGAGCTCCTGATTGGACGATAACTCACATAAACAGGATGGTTACCTGAGTCACCAGCGCCCCCTGCAGGTCGACCATGGAGGACAGAATGATGGTGGAGAGGCTTTTAGAGCGAAGCCAGCGAAACAAAACTCCTTCAGGAACTTCAGCTCCTGTCAAACAATGAAAACCTGCTTCTCATAAAATATTTATAAATATATATATTTTTATAGATCAACTGTCCCAGAATGATAATGTTGTTGTTTTGAAGCAATTTTTAACTAATATAATGGTAAAAATGCAAACTAAAGATCACTAAATTCACTAAAAGATCAATAAGTTTTAAATTCTAATGAATATAGAAACCTGAAACTGGGAGACAATTTAAACAAACAAAAACTAAAATTAAAATGAATTATGACGTTTTTGTAAACAAAATGTTTAGACTGAAAAACTTTATCATCCACACAGAAAAACATTAAATTATACAAATGAAATTATTGATCTTGTTCATGATGCAGTTAATTGATTTATTCCCACAGGTCTGGCTATGAATAATAAGAACTAAACTGAAACTAAACAATATTTAACTAATAATGAAAACAGCCAGCATATTGTAAAAACTACCTGAATCAGACAAATTGAGGCTCATAATGAAATAAAACTGAACTCTAATGAGAAACCCTGAAGTATTCACAGCCTGCGAGGTGAACTGACCCTTCCGGGCCGCCGTACGCGGCGCTCCACACACGCAGACGCTGCCGCCGCTCCTCTCCAGCCGCAGCAGCACCTCGCTCTCCTTCCTCAGAGCCGTCCACCGGTTCACCGCCATCACGGCGCCCGCGCCGCTCCTCCACCTCCTCCTCGCCCTCCTTCCGCGCTCCTCCTCTTCCTCCTCCTCCGTCCGCTCGCCGCCCAGCGCGTCGGCCAGCTTCCGGACCTCCAGCTCCAGCCGCTCCCGCTCGGCCAGCCGCCGGCCCAGGACCGCCTTCTGCTCGGACAGGGAGCGCACGCAGCCGCGGGCGTGCCTCAGGGCGCCCGCCAGCAGGGCGCAGGCCGCCGACAGGGACGACCACTCCCTCCGGCTCCGGGAGAGGTCGGAGGTCAGCGAGGAGCAGAGGCGCTCCAGGGAGCAGACGCGGTCCCTGTGGGCGTCACACTGAGAGCGACACATCTGCAGGAGACGACAAACAAGAGATTTATGATCAAATCAATATTCAGAACAATCAGATTATATCAGATGATTTCATTATTCTTATTGTTGTAGCTTCTAATTGATTTAATTAGTTTCTAATTTGTCCTAAAGTGTCAAGAAAACACAAATAAAATGTGTTATTATTCAACATGACGTAATGGTGGGCATTTATTGTCACATTATCATCACAATAATCAATAAATTAACTAATCGTATGATAAACTGAAACGAGCTCAATAATTTCCATTTGCATGAATTTAATGTTTTGCTCTTTTTGTTTTGGTTATTTTATTTATTTTGTGTTTTTGTTGAACGTTGGAATTTAATCTGCGGTTTTTGTCATGTAATTTGGGTTTTTTTTCTAGGCTAACTGACGTTTTTAATTAGCAAAGTCAAATTAAACAACAAACCGCAGAGAAATGATGACTGAATGCAGCCAGAGATTCTCAGAATGAGCAAAGATTAAACTAAATGTTTGGTTGTACAATGTTTGCATTAATTACATTTCAGACTTCCTGGACACCAAAATTTGACCAACCTTGCAGAAAATCCTGCGTTAGCAAAAAGCAACGTCAACTTCCTTCCATCAATCAGATTTTTGGGCTGAAATAATTTTCAGATGAAAAGTTTCTGCTGCAGGGAGACTCAGCTGACTGCACATCAGCTTCATCACACCTCCTGTGTGTGTGTGTGTGTGTGTGTGTGTGTGTGTGTGTGGGGGTGTGTGTGTGTGTGTGTGTGTGTGTGTGTGTGTGTGTGTTACCTGCAGCTGGTTCTGCAGCTGGTTGACGGTGTGTGTGTGCTGCTGGCTCCATGTCTCCTCTCTCCTCTTCATGTTTTCCTGCAGGCTAGTCAACACACACTCCTGGCTGCGCTTCAGCTCGCACACACACACACTCTTCTTCTCACAAACACTCTGCAGGTGAGCGATCTGCACAGAGAAGAAGAAACCGAACTGTTGAGCTGAAACGGTGAAAAGAAGCAAGAGAAAAATAATTTGGATCCGTTTTGTCTGGAATCCAGTTCCAGCTTCACCTTGTCCTTGGCCTGATGCAGGTCAGAGGTCATCTGCTCCACCTGCTCGCTGATGACATCACACAGCTCCCTCCAGGTGAAGTCTCCCAGAATGCCGTGGGGCGGCTGGGTGAGGACGCAGCCGGTCAGCAGGCGCTGGTTGAGGCGGTGCAGGAAGGCCAGGCGGACCTGAACACACAGAGAGTGAAAACTGATTCTGATGGAGCCGAGTTCAAAGGTCAGTCTGGTTTTAACAGGACCACACAAGAAAAAACTCACCAAAATAAAAGCACTCCACTTTAAATAATTTGGTGATTTTTTTTTAAATATTGATGAAAACGTGCTTGTTCCATTATTTAGGATTATTATCCTAGAACACTGAAAAAATGTATTTTATAAATTATATAATGTGCAAATATAACAAACTCTTTTGCTGTATTATTAAAAATGTGTCGACTGAAACCGAGATCCTGTATCTTATCAGATCGGATCCGTTCCTCCACAGGAAGCGGAACCGTTTCTCCGCAGGAAATGAAACCGTTCTTCCGCAGGAAGCAGAACCTTTCCTGTACAGGAAGCAGAACCGTTTCTCCGCAGGAAGTGGAACCGTTCCTCTGCAGGAAGTGGAACCGTTGCTGAACACTAAGTGAATCACCGCTGACTCCTTGTTGAACTCCTCTCTCATCTGTCGGATCTCCTTTCTGCTCTCCTCCTTCACTGTCTGCAGCTCCTCCTGCAGCGCTGCGTTCTGCATCGACCAATCAGAGGCCTCGTCCTGCAGCTGGCCCAGCGCCTGCTGCACCTCCTGGTGGACAGGGAGAAAAGTTCATCTTTAGCCTAAATGTTTGTCGTCTCCCTGAAACTTTAAAATATGTCTAGATCAGTGAAGTCCAACCAAAATCCTTTAAATCAGACTGAAAATTAATATCATCTGATTTTAATCCTCATTTTGACTAAAGAACTGACATAATAATGACAATCTGTTGTATTAAGGTAATTAAACCCGTAAAATGGTTTGGACCATAATTTGTTGCTCCAGAACCTCGTTATGTGGTCCAGTCAGAACCGACACCAGCCTTACACCAATTTGTTTCTGCTGCTCTGAGGTCAGCTGCTGGAGCAGCTGGTTCTCCTGGTGGAGCTTCTGGGTCGCCGCCAGCAGATCCTGGACCTGAAGGAGAAACGGAGATCAGGTTTCTGGGAGGAAGGCGGCGGGTTGCTCTGAGTGGACCCGTTCCAGACCTGGAGGGTGGTTTCCTCCAGTCTGTGCTGCTTGGTGCTCAGAGTGACCGCCAGCAGCTGCAGGATCTCAGTCGGACTCGGTTTCCCATCATGCTTTGCAGGTTGTGCTGTGCTTTGAGCCGTGGTGCCGAGCAGGGAGGTGATCTGCTGCAGGAAGCTGTGGAAGGCATCCTCTGTTTCAGAACGCTGCGCTACCGCCTGAACAGAGGAAAACATGGCCGCTTTAGAGCCAGGGGTTCTCAACATGGGGGTCGGGACCCCCATGGAGGACGCGAGACACCAGGTAGGGGGTCAGGTTGTCCAAACGTCTCCAATCTGCTCTCTGTTACCTGCTGCAGCAACAACTGCGTTTTGCCAAGTTGACTCTTCCCCTCCTCAAGCTTTTTGGAGAGGTCAGAGGTTGCCTTCCTCTCGGTTTCCAAGGCAACCGCCATCTCAGTCTTGCAGTGATTGAACTCTGTCTGCAGGCTGCATAAAGGCCAATGTGGAAAAAATGTTATGGAAATAAATATTTAACAGAAAGTAAAGGTGATAAACTGTTTAGAAATGAGGGATGACTGAGGACACCTAGCATAGCAGCATGTAGCCTAGCAGCATGTAGCCTAGCAGCAAGCAGCGTAGCACCATGTAGCCTAGCAGCAAGTAACATAGCAGTGTGTAGCATAGCAGCAGACCCTTACAGGTGGTATAGCAGCATAACTAATTAGCGTAGCCTAGCAGAGTGGTTTGGCAACATAGCAGAGCGACACAGCATAGCAGCATAGCACAGTAGCGTAGTGGTGCCTCCATGCTGCGGCGCTCACCGCTCCAGAGCGTGGTCAGTGTGACCCCTCCTCTCCCTCTCCAGGCTGTAAGCTCTCCAGCTCTCTGAAGTGCGTTCGCAGCATCTCCAGGTTGCACTGCGCCTCCTTCTGGCTGGACTGCTCCACTGCTACCGCTGCCTCCAGGTCCCGAACCTGCAGCTAGGGGCCACACAGAGGCAGTCAGACAGATAGGACGTCTATAAACCTCTGCATATAGTCTCTATGTACTGGAGTCTGTAATTAATGAATCACATTTTAACCTGAAACCACAAAAGAAGCAACATTTTTAATTCAACCATTTTTGCTGTTATTATTCAGGCAGTAGTTTAAAGCTTTTTAAGCTGCTTGTTTTATTGTGTTTCATGTTTCTGTTGCTACCAGAGGAAACCTTTTCCTCAATGACTGACACCAGCAGTCGTTTAACCTTCTGACCTCCAGGTTGCTCCTGGACTCCAGGTGAGCCGTTCTCTCCGCCTCCATGTTCGCCTCCAGATGCTTCACCTTCTCCTCTGCGATCTGGAGGACACCAAACATGATCCTCCATCTTTGTCATCCTCCATCTGCAGAGCGGCAGGAAGCGTCGGTCCGCCTCACCTCCTTCTCCCTGCCGCTCCTCTCCTGCAGCTCTTCAGCTCTTCGGCTAGCCGTCTGTTTTCCTCCGCCTCCTTCTGTCTCTCCCGCAGCAGGTCGGTCATTTTCCTCTCAGATGCCTCCACAGCCACCTGCTGGTCCTACAGAACAGAACCGACCGTCTGAACATAAGCAGCTAAATCCTGGATATTTTGGTCTCTACTAGAGTTACTTTTGTGGTTAAATTTTACGCCACAGCAGCTTCAAATGTTTTATGTTTCTGTCTCTTTGAGAGAATTTTCTGTTTAGAGCTAATGGTGTAAAAGTCAGTTCAGTTTTTGGTTTTCAGGGATTAGTAATGGTAGGAATGAAGTACATCCTTATGCAGACGACATCATGATTTAATATTATCTCTGTTGCCTGGATGTTGAGATGTTAACACCAACAATCTTCAGTCAGAGGCTTTTACAAATTTGCTGCAACACAATTTTTCCCAAGAAAACTGCAAAACAGAAGAAACATTGAGTTCCTTTAAATCAAGGCTAAAACTCACCAGTGTTATCTCTGATTAATAACTGGAACATTAACCAGCATATTCGACATGTTTTTGCTTTATAATTCAGATGAAGGCTTTGGATAAAATGCAACATTACTTGCTTGTTTCATAATTGCTGACTGCATTATGTTTTTATACCATAAAGCACTTTGAACCGACTTGTTCCTGAACAGCAGGACTGGTGTATTCTTCTTCTTCTACTACTACTACACTACTCAAAGTGGTTTGAGTTTCCTCTGCTTCCTGCACAGTGTGCTCTTTTTCTGACCTGGAGCAGTTGGTGCTGCTGCTGGTTTTCTGACCTGGAGCAGTTGGTGCTGCTGCTGGTTTTCTGACCTGGAGCAGTTGGTGCTGCTGCTGGTTTTCTGACCTGGAGCAGTTGGTGCTGCTGCTGGTTTTCTGACCTGGAGCAGTTGGTGCTGCTGCTGGTTTTCTGACCTGGAGCAGTTGGTGCTGCTGCTGGTTTTCTGACCTGGAGCAGTTGGTGCTGCTGCTGGTTTTCTGACCTGGAGCAGTTGGTGCAGCCGTTGATTTTCGGAGCTGAAGTTCTGGATCAGCTGGTCCCTTTCCTCCACCGCCTGCTGGTCGTCCTGCCTGGCCTGCTGGCTGACCTGCAGAGTTTTCCGCAGCTCTGCGATGGTCTGCTGCAGCTCTGCTGATTTCTCTGCAACATGAATAATAATAAACTGAACACAGTCAGAAGTGCTGCAGCATGTTTTCGATCATCTGAGCTGCAGAAGGTGTTGCTGTCCTCCACTTCTGTTCTCTTCCTTTGTTTAATTTGTTCACCTGTCAGAGCGGTTCTGTCCCGGTCGAGCTCGGCGACCCGGTTGCTCTCTCTGCGGCTGGCAGCGAGCTGGAACTGCAGCTTCGTTCGCTGAGCCTCACCGCGCTCCATGAAGGAGCGAAAACGGGCCACCTCCGCCTGCAGGAAACACACCTGAATACACACACACACATAAACCAATAATATAAATGTACAAACCTGATATTCTGGTAAATCACTGGAGGAAATGGACCCAGTAGCAGAGAAGTGATGATGTATGTAGGCTAAATAACAACCTACATGACCAACAATAAAATAAAATACTCACATTTTTCTTATTTTTCCTGCTTTTTCTGTGAAAATATTATTTTCACAGAAGGAACAGTAGAAATGATTTGTATAATATGAGTTTTCATGGTGGCAGAGTTCAGTTTTTGCTGATCTGTTATTCTTATCTCGGCCACTGGAGGGCGCTGCAGCCTCACCTCCTGGTTGTGGCGCACTGAAAGCTTCAGATTCTCCTTCTCCAGCTGGTTGAGCCTCCATCTGAGCTCTCTGGACTCCTGGCTGATGTCCCTCCTCTCTGAGGACGCGCTCCTCTCCCTTACAGTCCTCTTCATCACTCCTCCTCCGGCTCCTTCCTCTTCTCCTCCTCTTCCTCTCTCGCCTCCTGAAGGAAACACAAAGCTTATCATTACCTTATTATATATCCATTTTTCAATGACTAAGTAAAAATATTTTCAGATCAATGTTTGCTTGAATTAACTTGAATTGATCAATTTCAAATTAATTTTTTAGGTATTTTTTTTTTCTTTTCATCTGTTTTAAACATCTTCATTTTAACAGCAGTTTGTTGTGTATATTAATAAAGTCTGGGTTAATTTTGCCTTGGGGTCTTTGGTTCTCCTCTATGCTCTCTGGCTCCAGTCGGGCTTTCTGCTCCGATCCGCTGGTCTGCGCTGCATGTCTCCAACACAATTATTTTCCTTCTGCAGGCAAAATTTAAACAATAAGTGGAGTAAGTAGCGAAACTGTAAAAAAAAAAAAAAAAAAGTGAGATGCATAATGTTTTAAAAACCATCTCCACAGCAGGAGACTGTGTCCAGGCAGAAAAACATACTGTAAAGTAATTAAACACAACTGGGCTGCACAGCAAAAGGTCACAGGTTCAAATCCCAGCCTTATGCAACTTATAATTGTGCTATTATTGGTCTAAAATACATTTAAAATATAGATAAATCCTATTTATTGTAATCTGATTATCTAAAAGTCAAAATCAAAGTTCCCAGAGACACTTTGAATATAAAAATAATAATAAAATTGTCACTAACAGCGGGGTTTAGATAGTTACGTTAACCTCCCTGTGGGACTGTACTATTTGTGTGTTTTTTGTCTGTTTTTCCCCTGGTGTGGTTAGTGATATCCAGGATGAACAGATCCAGTGGCCATCAGCTGAAATGCTCCAGTTTTCCCTCCCAGAGGACTGACTGACTCCATGTTGATGTTGTTGCTGCAACCTCTGAGACCCAGACGGCACGGGATTGGCTGAGGCTGCCGTTACCTTGGCAACAGACTGCCAACTTCGAACGTCTCTCTGCAACGATCTCCATTTAAAAAACTGCGCTATAAGAATTAATCACTTTATAACTCTGGTTGTGGAATAGATATATTAAAAAGAGACTAATCTACTGAAGGTTTCTGATCCGCTGTTTAATTCGGCGATAATAACGAGTTTCAATGCGGTCGCCATTTTTACCTGAAGGCTAATCACTGCGCTCCTGAACGGTTCTATGTACCACGAATAAATCTCAACATGTTAACTTTAATAATAGCTTTTCTAACACTTCCAGTTGTAACATGACATCAAATAAATGTATATACTTGAATTAAGAAGTGGTGATAAGGTGAAGTGAAACGACAACACAAAGTTTTCGTGGATGTTTGGAACATTAAACCGCCTTTTTAGCTGCTATCGCCTTTTACAACCATAAAACCGCCTCATGTCTATTAACATTAACGACACACATCATAACTCAGCCCCTGTAAGCCGTAAGAAACACTTACTGTAACATTCAGCTCGGGACGGTTTGAAACTCACGCCATCTTTGGCGTCCTTACGTCATTTCCGTATGAACGCGTTCTTTGTCAGAGCGGCCAATCAGGCGCGACCAAATTGTTGCCTTGTTTGCTGGAGATTTAACAACTGAAAAGCCAAATAAACAGATCAAATATTAATTCATTGAAATTCAATCAAAACTTAAAACTACTTTATTTATCCCAGTGGGAAAATAAATCTTGTTATAACTCATGAGGTAGCTTCAGACTAAAGTAAGAATAAAGTTGTATTTTGGAAATAATAATTATTGCAACTTTATTCTCCTGGTTGTGTGTTCTTCGTGTATACTCCGTGGTAGAAACAAAACAATAAATAGTAGACAAAACTTTTCAATGAAAACTTAAGGAATTTTACATTTTATCTGTTCATTTTTCTTTGCTTTAATGATGTTTTATTGTTGGTCACTAGAGGTCAGGATCAGGGGTTGTTCTCGGAAACGCTCCTATTTTTAACCGTAGAAGAAGACACAAAGCAAAACAACATGGCGGCCTCCGCACAGCACGTTGGACCCACTGCTGAGGAGGCAGACCCACCTGAATGTAACCGAACAGAACCGAATAAAGACCCCGGAACATCCGAATCAGAGTCGGAACGACTGGAGGAAGATGCGGAGGAGGAAGAGGAGCCTCCCGGCCCGAAGCTCCGGGAAACCCCACAGGACATCCAGCTGGAGGCCATCGCCAACACGGTGGCTCTGCACCCCAGCAGGGACATCTTGGTGTGCGGGGACGTGGACGGGGATGTGTACGCCTTCTCCTACTCCTGTATGGAGGGAGAGAACCGGGAGCTGTGGTCGTCCGGACACCACCTGAAGTCCTGCCGCCAGGTGCGCATCTCGGCGGACGGGCTGAAGCTGTACAGCGTGTCCCGCGACAGGGCCGTCCACCTGCTGGACATGGAGCGGGGGCAGCTGGTGTCCCGGATCCGGGGGCCACGGGGCTCCCATCAACAGCCTGCTGGGTGGACGAAAACATGCTGGCCACCGGAGACGATGGAGGCACCCTGAAGGTCTGGATGGAAACTGGACAGAAAGGCTGGGGGGAAAAGTATTTACCCCCTGCAGATCTACTGTGTTCATGAAGGAGAGTTAAGATAAAAGGAAAGCAAGATGAGTCAGAATATTACCAGAAAAAAAGCATTCAAATACAAGAATAAGGTTGTAATAATTCAAGAATAAATTAATAAATACCAAATAAATTCATGATAATAAAGTTATCTGGTAAAATAAGTTATTATTTTACCAGAATAAAGGTAGAGTATTAGGAAAATGAAGTAAGGCTGCAATTATGTTAATAATCGATTATTGTATCAACTATTGTGACAATTATTCTATTAATCAGATATAAAAATTGGCACCTACAGATTTTTCATGCAACCATTTAAGCCTTTTTTCATACAATAGTAGAAATACATTAGAATATGCAAATAAAAAATAATTCATCGCTTTAAATAATAAGATAAACATTTTATTGCGTAACTTTTCCTCTGCAGGTGTGGGATATGAGGAAGGGAACAGCCATCATGGAGATGAAAAACCATGAGGATTATATCAGCGACATAACTGTGGACCAGAACAAGAGGATTCTGCTCACTGCCAGGTAATTCGCACGCTTATCTGGACCTGGATCGCAACTCCAGTAGTTTGATTTTTAAAAGTGTACAGTATATTCTGTTGTAGTTTTTCACAATATATTATTAATTTTGGGGCCTTTCATAGCAATGCAGATACAATGCTCAAGTTAAAACATTTGCATAGTGCATGGAGTAAATCATTATTAGTCAACATGCTAATGATAACACTCATCATTGTTGTAGTTTTACGTAATAGTTACTCTATATGCTAATGATATAGCCTAATGCTAACCTTAGCCTGGAATAAGCATTCCAGCTAATTTTTAGTGAAGTAAATGGAGTAAGTGAAAGTAAGTCCACATGCTAGCTACAGAATGTAACCTAACCATAGCATCTTAGCTAATGTTAGCTTATATACTAATATTTGCATAAATAAATAGAGTAAGTCCATTTTTGGTTAATATGCTAACGATATCCCACATTGTTGACTACATTTTAGCTAATATTAGCATTGTTGCTAATTTCAGCATCAGAATCCCTGGTGGGACACGCCCCTTTTGAATTTCTTCAGAAAGTTAGAAGTTATTACTGTTATTAGTTTAATTGTTATCATTGTTAATACTGGTTTGTTTTAACACTTTAAGAAGTTTTACTATGTGAATCTTATTTCTACTCTGGTCAGGTTTAGAACCAGGACAGATTAATGTAGGTGTTGCTGCTGGAGTTGTTTTTGGTTTCTCTGAATCTGTGAAAGCCTGATTATTATGCTGATGTCTGCTGTGACTGCCGGGTCCTCAGTGGGGACGGCACCATGGGCGTCTTCAACCTGAAGCGGCGGCGCTTTGAGCTGCTGTCGGAGTACCAGAGCGGCGATCTGACCTCGGTGGCGGTGATGAAGCGAGGGAAGAAGGTGGTCTGCGGCTCCAGCGAGGGAACCGTTTACATCTTCAACTGGAACGGCTTCGGCGCCACCAGCGACCGCTTCGCTCTGAAGGCGGAGTCGGTGGACTGCATCGCGCCCATTACAGAAAACATCATGTGCACGGCGTCCATGGACGGATACATCCGGTTAGTTGAGTTATTGCAAATCATCCTTTAAGGGTTTAACCATTAACATGGCCCCCGTCTCCTGTCAGAGCCATCAACCTTCTGCCCAACCGGGTCATCGGATGCATCGGGCAGCACGTTGGCGAACCCGTCGAAGAGATCGCCAAGTCCTGGGACTCCCGCTTCCTGGTCAGCTGTGCCCACGACCAGCTCATCAAGTTCTGGGACATTTCTGGTTTGCCCAAACTGAGCGTGGACGAATACCGCAAGAGGAAGAAGAAAGGCGGGCGGATGAAGTCGCTCACCAAGAAGGCCCTCGGCGACAATGACTTCTTCTCTGGACTTGTGGAGGAAACTGAGAAAAAAGAAGAAGAAGAAGAACAGGAGGAAGGTGATGACAGTGACAGCGACAGTGGGAGTGACTGAAACTCCCACTGCTTCATACTACAAGATGCTTCCTGTAGCTGTTTAATTCTGTGAAGACGGACCACGTTATATAATGTTTCTGCGCTGGCAGACATTTTGTTCAGAGCGTGGAGAACTCATGAGCTGCTGCTTTGGTTCAGTCCAATAACTGAATTAAATGCTGGGAAAAGAAATGACTTTAAACTTAATAAATATCTCTGCCAGATATTTATTAAGGTGACTCACGTTACGTTGTTCAACTCTGGTGAATCTTCATCTTGAAAACATCAGTACCAGTGTTGACCTTTATGCAAAAGAAAATAACACTGCCGTTATTCCAACAACCTCAGAGGAGTTTGTTTTATTTTATGTTAGATAATCATAAAGTACTTCATAACCATAAAATGGAATTAAGATTATACATGTTTTCCAAAATATTTTACCAAATAAATCTGAAAAGTTTTGAGTTTTTTTTAAATTTATTTTAATCCCTCTGAGTCATAAAGTTGTTGAACTTCACTGTAAGTGTTTTGGTTATGTTCCTATCAGTTTTATCCATATAGAGCAGGGGGGTTAAAACTGAGGGGTGCGGGCCATTTTTGCCCTCTTAAATGATCTTTTGTGGCCCCCAACTGCAGAAACAACAGATTTGTTTATTTAACATTTTTCAAGGGGAAATTATTACTGAGAGTATTTTCTTTCAATGAAAAATGTTAAGCATAAAAAAGTATTCATATTTTTCCAAACAAACTTTTGTTAGTAGAACCATGTAAATCCACAGACTTTAACTGAACGACTCTGGATTTTGCTGCACCCAAACCAGCTTATATTTAAAGTATTTAATTCAGCTGAATATAGCAACTGAGAACTAACTGTCAGTTAACCCCAAATAAATGTTTGGATCTCCTGCAGTTCTTTGATTCATGTCGGTTTCCTGCTGCGCTCTGATCTGTTGTAAGACGAAATTTCTGCCCTGTTCTGAAGAAAAGATTCTGAGGAAAAGTTTCTTTAAAAGTTTTTACAGCATGATAAAGATCTGCTTTGATCCATTTGTTTTCTCTGGTTTGGAATACTGAGTTAAAATTAGGGCTGCACCAATTACAGTTTTCTGGCCGATTACCCATCTTTTAAAAATCTTAACCTGCTCATTCCAATTTTGTTTGATACCAATTTTTCTGAAAAGTTGCTCAATATAGCAAAAATGCCATTGAGTTGGCAACAGTAGAGTCACTATTGTTAATTTTAAACTTGCAGACATAATTTGGAGTCTGTCAGTCAAACCTTCCTCACTAAAGAGCAAAAGAGGACAGTGGTTGATTCTCAGACCTTTCCCAAGATAGATAAGATCAGCTTCACATGCAAAAATCGACCGATTTCTCAAAACAAAGGTAAATTGTTGCCAACTTTTTAGAACTCAACTCAAAAGTTATAAAATGGTCAGACACACAAGGTTATGGAGAAGTACTGTTAATTCTTCACATTTAATCCTATAAACCAATACAAGGTGTAAAGTATGATGGGAACCTCAGGATTCTCTGAGAAAAAAAATTCAAACAAAAATAGCATCACATTACGTTATTACTTCCTACGTAATTATTCCCCTCTATTGATAATTATCAATATCTAAAACTAGGCCAGATTAAAATATATGAGTTATGATTTAAAAATTCAGACTAAGACCTTGATGATACCCAAAGAAAAAACAAAAGCAGATTTAAATCTTCCCTACCAGGATGAGAAAACTAAACTATAAAAATAACTGCAGCTGTAACAAGACGTGGCACTGATGAATAAACCAGAATGAAAAACAGTTGCTATTTTATATGATTTTCTATGTTCATGGTTCCATACATTTTCTGAAGGTAGATAAAGAGTTTTTGATATGACTCAAACACCCCCACAGGTTGGTACCGTTGGTACGGTCCAGGATGGCGGGAAATACGTCAGCGACTACGTCACAGGAGTGAATGGGCCAATATGGCGGCGGGCGTCAGAATGTAGCTTCGCAACGGGACGATTTATTTAAACTACTGTTGATTCAAGAAGTTTGTCTTTTAGTTTCAGGTGAGAAAACGGAAATACGAACATTTTATAAAACCACAACGACATTACGAACCGTTTCCGTTCAGCCTGGCAGACAGTTAGCACGCCGCTAGCTAGCAGGAACGAGTGTATTTGTAAACAATGAGTGAACATGATGATGCAAAGCGAAACCTGCTGAGTTAGACTGAAAAGCTCCTCTAAAACTGAAGCCTGGGGGATGTTACAGCGAACACAGCTGTTTCCAGCGGTGTTTGGAAAACGTCTGCATCGGTTTGCTAACTGAAATGAAGACATTTTTAAGCTAATCCGTAAATGTAAACAGAATAAGGTTAATATGATAATTAAGAGACAGGTGGGCAGGAAAAGCTGTCAATGTTCTGGAGCAGATCACAGGTAGAGAGCACACCTGGCAGCTAAACCCAGCAAAGTGATGTCACGTGTCTGGTGTTCACATGGCCAAGGCTGAGGAAGCAAGTAATGGACCAAACGTTCATTACTGCTGTTATTTCTGTAAACCTTTAGTTTTTGCTCCATTCATGCATGTTTCACTGTTTGGTTTAGGTTTGTTATTGGACCAGGTGGCAAAACAAAAACATGATTTTAAATGGCAGAAATGTATTGAAGAAATCATTAAATTAAGAAATGGACATCACACAGCCTGCTTTATGCCTGCCAGGAATCTGTGATCATCACTAACATCATATCGTTTTCAGCTTTCCTTAAGTCACTTTCTGCAGCAGCAGGATGTCTGGAAAACTCAGTAACCCCCTGAAGGCCGGCGACCTGGTGTTCGCCAAGATGAAAGGCTTTCCTCATTGGCCGGCTCGGGTAAACAAGCAGACAACACACCCTTCATCACACAGCTGCTCTGACCTGGGATGCTTTAACCCGTCTGTGTTTGTAGGTCTGTAAATCAGAGAACGGCTACAGGAAGCGAGTCCCTGTCTACTTTTTCGGGACCCATCAGATGTATGTTCTCCAGCAGCCAATCAGGTTTGTCCCTCTGTGTGCGTCTTTAACCTGGCTGTGGTCGTTCTCTCCCCAGAGGCTCCGTCACGCCGGAGAACGTCGCTCCGTACGTCGGCAACAAGCTGAAGTACGGCAGCGGCGTCCGCATCAAGGCTCGCTGAGGGGATGTGGGAGATCCAGAACACGCCCGGCCTCGGCAGCAAACTCAAGGTGAGTTCAAACTTGTTTCTGCTTAAAATTTATTTATGACATTTATTTGATAGGTACAGAGAAACTAAATACACAAATCTGGAACAAAACTTCCAGAAAAACTGCAGAACTAAAACTCCAGCTGGTTAGATCTGCTTCTGAAATAATAAATGAAACATTGGAGCGAAATATTGATGTGTAATGACGACACTTGACAGTTATTCTTTTTCAGTTGACAGTCTGGTGTTTTATGAAGACATGACTATGTATGTTTGTGTTTTTATGACGTTTTATGAGCGCTACAGCTTTAGATAGGATGCTCCACTTGGGTGGACTGTAAAATGTTACTGGAATTGGTTTGGGTTTATTTAAAGTGTAATGAACTCAGAGATGGAAAAGAGGTTTAAAAGATTTTACAGACTCTGTTGTATTTTCTCCACAGGTTCAATCGAAGATCTTCACTAAAAAAACACCAGCAAAACCAGCTTCTCCTTCTACTACACTCTCCAAATCTACTTCTGTGTCCTCCAGAAAAACTCCTGCAGCTAAAACTCCTGATGGAAAACCTAAAGGAGCTTCTGCTCCCACTAAGTCTGAGTGCAACACTAAGCCTGCTTCAAGCAGAAAGCACCCCGAGTCGAGCTTCGGGTGAGAAAGAAAGTTCAGAGAGATCCACAAGAACCTCGTTTCGATCGGCTCCAGATAAAACAATCCAGACCAAACAAGATCTGGTCTCTTCCAGATTGACTTCTGATCAAGCTGTAGAAACAAAGCAAGATAAAGAAACACTAGACTGTATCACAACTACAAGATCCTCATCAGGTCGGTTCAATCTGTAGAACCACAGCTAGATAACGAAACTCCAGATCATGTTGAGGCTATAAGAACCTCCTCTAGATTGTCTCCAGATGAAGACATGAACTCTGGACTGGGCAAAGAGTCTGCAGAACCTCCTGCAGCTGCAGTCAGGTTGCCTAAGTCCAATCCAAATGACTTCACACAGTTTACAGAGACTGCAGAGCATAGAGAGGTTAGATTAGAGTTAACCAGGCGTCTTCTAATGAGACAGCAGAGTCCAGTCAGGGTGAAGACTCTGCAGATCAGACTGCAACCAGGTTAGCTCCAGATAAACCAACAGACTCCAAAGTGGAAAAAGAAACCGGAGATGACGATACCACATCGTCTAGATCAGTTCCAGTTAACACCACAGAGTCCAAACAGGGTAAAGAACCAGCAGAGCAGCCGCTGCTACTAGAACCTCATCCAGATTAGCTCAGAGAAACCAACGGGTCCAAAGCCGGATCAGGAAGCAGGAGAGGTCGCTGCGCCAACGAGAAGCAGGCGGTCGGCGAGCGCTGGGTCACTGGCAGAACCATCGACCCAAAAGGAAACTCCAGCTCAGACTAAAAGAGAGGTAAGAAACCAAAATAGTAGATCTAACAAGCTGACAGATCTGATATGTTCAGGTTCTGCTCAGCTGCAGTTTTTACAGTTTCATTTTTCCTCAGGTGAGATCAGGAAGAGCTTCTTCTGCCTCTGATGGAAAACCTGCAGCCGGATGGACAGGAAGCAAACCTCTGGCCAAGAAGGAAACGGCGAGCAGCGGCGAGCAGGAAGCGGCTGCAGGACGAGTTTCCACCCGGAGCAGAGCAACAGATTTAAAGGTGACCGCCGGGATTTCATGCTGCCAGCCTCACAAAAACTGTTTCCTCCTTTATAAATGCAGCTGCTGGTGAGATTTAAATAGTTTAAAATGGAAAAAAAGAACCTCAATAAACACAATATGTACATTTTTATTTTATTGTTTTTATTTGGACAGAAGGAAGCAAACTCATTGATTTGATAGTTAAAGTTCAGCATCATCTGTTGATAGGGTTCACTTTAGCTCAGTAATGCTACACTCAGCTGCTATCGCTACGTGGGATAAGGCCTTCTCAGTGTTTGCTAAGTTACAGACACAACAACCAATAGCATGTTAACTGCCTGCGTTTGTTCTTCGCTGTCAATCTGAACACTTCCTCTGCAGCACCTGCTGCTGGCAAAGCTGATCACCATGATTTTCTGTGCATTTTGTTCAGAGCAAACCTGAGACCAATAGACCTACAACAACTTGATTAGAGCAAATCAAAGGAGCTCTACTGTGGATGTTTCAAGATTTATGTTCGGAAATTTTTTTTTCCTCAAATGGAACCAAAACTTGGTCAAAACGGTTCACATCAGTTTTGTAAATCAGTTCCAGTAACAGTTTTTTTTTTACTGATATCAGTGATTAAACATATTCGTTTTGTTTTCTCGGCAGTTCAGTGACATTCCTGACTTGCCGCCTCCCAGGAAGAGGAGAAAAGATGCAAGAAAGCAAGAAATCCAGGCGGCCAAGAGGAAGAAAGAGGAGAAGAACGAGAAACTGAGTCAGAGCAGCGAGGACAGGATGGAAGATCAGCCTGAGAGCAGAGCGTCGAAAAGAAAGATGGAGGAGGAGAAAACCGAGGAAGGAAGAGAAGTAAAGACGAGGAGGAGCAAGAAAGACAAAGAGACAGGAGAGAAAGAAATGAAGAGAATCAAGATGAGAAGAGAAGAAAACTCTGAGGGAATAAAGAAGAGGAAGGCTGACGAAGAGACAAAGACATCTGAGAAAACGAAGAAGACCAACAAGGACGGAGCAGAGGTGATGAACGAGAAACACGAAGGCAAAAGAGAAGAAATGAAGGTCAGGAGGACGGAGGGAGAGAGGGATTCATCTGAGGAGACAAAGAGAGGAGAGAAAGACCAGGACAAAACAGAGGGAATAAAAACAAAAAAAGAACAGAAGAAAACTGAAGGAACAAAGACAAAAAGAGCCGAGGAGGAAGAGAAACATCAAGAAAACCTGGAAGCAAAGAAGACGAGGAGCGAGGAGGAAGAAACGGAGGGAAAGACGAGCAAGAAAAGCAAGAAAGAAGAGGAGAAAACGGAGAACAAAACCAGAAAAACTGAGAAACCCGAAGAGAAAACAGAAGACAGAGGAGAAGGAATGAAGGTCAGGAGAGCAGAGAAAGAGAGAAAAGAGGAGGAGGAGGAGGAACGAGTGAAGACCAGGAGAGGAGAGAGTAAGGAACTGAAGGACGACAAGAAAACCAAAGAGAGAAGGAAAAGAAAGAAAGAAGAGAAAGATAAACCAGAACCAAGCTTAGAGAAAACAAGAGAAATGAAGCAGAAGACGACAAAAGATGCTGATGGAGCGAAAGAGAAGAAGGTCCAGAAGAAAAGAAAACATAAGGGCATGGGAGAGGAGGAAGAAAAGAGAGGACAGCAGTCTGCAAGACGAGAGGAAGAGGAGGAGGTGAAGAAGAGACAGGATGGAGGGGGAGACGGCAGAGGAGAAGGAAGACGAGGTAAAAGCTGCAAACGCAGAAATGATTCTGGACATGAAATGAACTCCATACATTTACAAACAGACTCAAAGATGGAGAAAGATGAGAAGGAAGAAATGAAACTAGTGCAGCATTTCTGGACATGAAATTTACCCCAAATTTACAAAAACAAAGAAGAGAAGGATGAGAAACAGAAACATGAAACATAAACGTCTTCCTTCCTTCAACAACTAAACCCTAAAAATCACCAAACTGAAAATATTCAACGTTTCTTTTTCTCTATTACCTGCACAGCAAAAACTAAATCATGTCATATTTTTCATTGGCTCTAATGTTTACAGTTATTTAAGTTTAATCATTTTTTAAGCCTATAAAATGTTTTTAGTTTATTCTCAGCAACAAAAGTAAGAATTTTCCTTCACAAGTTTCTCCGATGTCAGTCTGCTCTTGAGTTCAAAATGATTGTGGCACAACTTGTTAAAAATAGAATATAATAATAAAAATGAAAAGGCTAACTAATGAGCCGTTAATGACTTGCAGTCAGGGCCACACATAATTAATCCAAGGGCCACAAATGGCCCCCGAGCCACACGTTGGACACCTGTAACATTCAACCTTTCTGATTTTGAACTCTTTGTGACTCTTTGAAACGCCAGAGGCAGGATCAGCTGGCGGCGAGGAGGGACAGCTTCATCGAGTCGCTGAGGGATCTGCTGAAGACGAAGGAGATGACGAAGAGCTCCCAGTAAGGAAGACGAGTCGCTCTTCATCCGGCAGAACCGGTCCAGAGACGGACTAACTCCTCTCTGCTGGGTTTGTGTTTCCATCAGGGACGGAGGAAAGTCTGGCGACAGGAAGACGCCACCCAGAGGTGGAGAGGAAAGACGGAAAGGAGAGAAGACGGACAGAGGGGGGAAACTGTCCACCAGAAAGTCAACGACTGAGACGAAAGGAGAGAGACCGTCCAACCACAGGACAAGTTCAGACATGAAGACGGACGGACAGAAGGAAGAGAAGATGAATGAAAGCACCAGAAGAGACAAGATGGCCACCAGGAAGTCCACAGCTGAGAGGAAGAAGACAATAAACGAGTGGAGAAGGATTCAAGGCAAAAGACGACGGTGGAGACAAAGGGAGTGAAGACGGGACGGACAGAGGAATGAGGAAAACCACAGAGGACAAGACTGGTGGGAAGGAGGAAAAGATGTCTCCTGGAGGCTCGGCGGTGGAAGTGAAGAAAGATGGACAGAAGGTAGAAAAGGACGAGAGGAAAGAAGAAGACGAGACGAAGCAGCAGAAAGACGAGAGAAAGATAATTGGAAAGATCGTTAAAGCCAATCAGGGAACGAAGATCCATGTGAAGACCATGATGGGAGGACTGACCAAAGCTGCTGGAGAGGAGGAGGGGAAGAAGAAGAAAGAGGAGGATGGAGGGAGAAAGGAGGAGGCGAAAAAGACTTTAGAGACAGAAAAAAACAGAGAAGGCAGCCAAGAAGTCTGATGCTAAAAACTCTGAGATGGAGGAGAAAAAGGGGAAAAAGGAAGAGCAGAAGAAGAACGAAGCTGAAGACAAAACGACAAGAAATCAGGAAGAGAAGAAGAACCCAGAAGGCAGGGAAAACAGAGGCGATGAGATTAACACGGGAAAAGAGGAAGAAACGTGACGGCGAATCTCAGGAAAAGAAAAAAGAGAGAACGAGATCACGGCGACTGGAGGAGAGCAAACAGCAGAAGAAGAACAAGGAAAGAAGAGAGCGGGGCCGACAGAGCGCAGGCTGCAGGTTTACGGACTGAATCTGCGGCGCCAGCGGAGGAGGACGGCGCCGACGGAGAGAGTCCCCCGGGACGGATCAGGGACAGCAGAAGAAAACTGCAGTTCAACGCTGACGGACTCGACTCTGCACCGGATCAACGGAGACCTCCGCATCTCTCTGAAGACGGACAAACCCGTAAGACGATTTTACCAGAACAAAACAAGTCGAATAAAAACTCAGATTGCTATAAAACTCTCGCCTGGTGACAGCAGTGTGGTGCTTCTGTCCCCAGGACATCAGGAAGTGTCTGTCGGCGCTGGACCAGCTCAGCATGCTGTACGTGACGTCAGAACACGTCCAGAGGCACAGCGAGCTCATCGCCACGCTCAGGAAGGTAAACCTGGGTCACACGACCGGCACAAACCACTCAGCTGTTAGCTGATAAACCAGGTGATATTATTGATAGTTTTGTCTGTAAAGAGTCTGAATGTTGCAAACATGGCAGAAACTCTGATTTTAATGGTTTAAACTGATTTGGTTTAGTTGGGATTTAATTTGTTTGGTTCAAAAAAGACCAAAGATTGTTTTCAGTCATCAGGTTCCATTTCAGCCCAGAAGCTAAAAGTTTACAGTTCTACCAACAATATCTCCTTAGTATTAAAAATGAGTGAAAACTGTCAAAAACACTTTTTTCTCTTTTTGTGGACAACTTTAGTTTGTGAATTAAAACTCCGAATGATGAAGAGCTTCTTCTTTTTTGACCGTTTATCGCGATTCTTCGTTGATTTCTGGTAAACCTGGAGTTTGTCCCTCTCCCTGCTGTGATCCGGTGGATCCCCAGATGCGGCACTACCGGGCCAGCCAGGCCGTCATGGACAAGGCCTCCATGCTCTACAACCGCTTCAAGAACGCCTTCCTGGCGGGCGACGGCGAGGAGGTGGTGAGCGCCGCCTTCCTTCGCTCGCTGCTGCAGGAGAAGGAGCCGGAGGAGACGCAGCGGCTGAGGGAGGAGGAGGAGGAGAGGAGGCGAGCGAAGGACAGGTGGACAAGCTGGAGGTAAAAGGTAATGAAACCAAATGATGTTAAAATGATCAAATATTAGAAGAATCTCAACTTCAAAAATATAAATCTTCTGAATATTTTACATGATTCTGTTTCTTTAATTTATAGGATATTTTTATTTCCTCGTGTTTTACTTATTTCTGATCTTTTATTTTTAATCATTTAATCTTTGAAATGTTAATACAAGTAGATGGAATAAATATTTACTGCTTTTATGCTTAATCTTATTGTTTATCATGTTTTATCACGTTTTATTCAGGTGAAATTTGTAAAATATCAAAAAATTTTCTTTTTGAATTAGAGATTTGCAGCATTTTATATAAATATGTAATTTATTGATTGTAAAATAGAAATCATGTTAATAAAAACAGATCAATTTTTCTGCTTTTTGTTTTCATCTTCAGTGGATTCCTCCTGAGATCCGGATCGGATCGGACTAACCGGACTGAATCAGACCGAAGCAGATCAGATCAGACCGAACCGGATCGGACTGAACCGGACCGGACTGACCCGTCCACAGCAGCTGCTCTGGTCCCTGTTGCTGGACGTTCTGCTGAATTTCTCATCCCAGTGGAAACTTGTGGCTCGTTTCCTTCTTAGTTTTTGGTTTGATCTGTGATTTCAGTCAGCAGCATTAATACTGATTTAAACTTTTAGTCTTTTTAATTAAACTTTAACTAAAACACTGAGTAACTTGTGCAAATTTTTACTTCCTGTGTAAAGTTCCTAATCTTAAACTCCTCTGGTGCATTCGGCCATCTTGCCCTCAGAGAAGGGGCTGATGGGAACGTAGTTGTTTGATTTTATTTAAATAATGTTGAATGAAACATGAAGCGTTAAATCCATTGTAAAACCTACAGAACGGTGCTGCAGAGATGAGTCTGTTTGTTTTTGTACAAATCTGGACTTTATTTTTTAAAGTTGCTGCTTCTTCACATGTTTTTATTTGTAAGTTTGTTAGTTTCCAGTAGCCTGTCTGGTACCGACTGCTGCAGCTGCTGCTGCTGCTGCTACTGCAGCAGCTGCAGCTGCTGCTGTCTTGTAAATCTGTATTTTTCTGATGTTTTTCCACAAACGATTGCATTAAAGTCCTGATCAGGAGGCTGCAGCCTGGTTCTTACAGAACGTTTCCTCTTTAGTACAAAGTGTTGGTTTTAAGACGGTTTTGCTGAAACTGCTTCCAGCTTTCATCACAATATTAACCTGAAGTTAAAATCATTAAAACTGCTGGCAGTTCAGAGTTTGTCTAATCAGAAATGATAAAACAATAGAAAAGCAGCACAAACCCGGTTTTTTATTTATTAATAAAACCTATAATTATTAATAAACCTTCCAATGATCACAAGGCCGTCACCCTAATCTTTCAGGACTTTAACTAGGCCTCTTTCCATCCCAAGAAAAATGAATTTTTCCTAGATCAGCTTCAAAGCTGCACTTTCAAATATTTTAGATAAATTCTATGAAATATTCAGTAAATAGACAATAAATCCATAAGCAGATGAACCTTGGATGCTGAACTGCAAACGGTCGACTTATGAAAAGTTTTGACTGAAGGAATGTTGTTACAAACCCGAACGTTTACAGGAAAACTGCAGCATCGTGTTTTTGCTGCACTTCAGAATCAGATCATCATGAAGCGACGTTGTGAGGAAATTCATGTTTCATCATCCAGATGGAGAAACGGAGGGACAGAAAGTTCAGCGTTTGGCTGTGAGAACCAGAAATCGCTGGTCTGAGTCTCAGGATGTTTGACATGATGCCACAGGAGCAGAAAACGTTTGACCCAAATTCAACAATTACATGAATTTACAGGAGGCAGAAAAAAACCTTTTGATATTTATGGATAAAAAGAACAGTTCAGTTTGATTTTATGCAGTTTAAATAAATACATTTCATATCATTCACCAGTATCTACACTAAAAATATTAAATGTTAATATATTATTTTTAAACTGGAAAGACTGGTAAAGTTTAGCTGAAGACATTTACACACAGTTTGTCCCCAAAGTGTTTCTGCAAAATAAACACTTTGGCGATTCTACAACAGAAAGAACATTTTCATTTCAATGTTCTAATTCTTATTTGCTTTTGTTTTGCTTGTTTGTGACGATGTTTGGAGATTTTTCACATCCTGTTTGGTTTATTTCATGTTCAGCACAAGAATAAAAAATAAAAGATAAAAGGAGCAAAAAAGAACCAGAGCTGAGAGAACCAGTGGCAAATTGTTTCTTTTATTTTTATTTAGCTGCTTATCTGCTCACACACCCAGAACTACATGAACACAGCAGAATAAAAGCTGCTGGACGAAGAGCTTCAGGAAATGATCAGCTGGTCTATTGTGTGGTATTTTTTATTTTTATTTTTAAAGGCCTGCTTGCTGCCGTCAGTTCATAATGTTCTAAAAACTCTCAAACCTCATAAATAATAAGTATTTTTTATATTTAGTCCAACTGAACTGAAGTTTCAGGCCTGAGACCAAAACCTGGAAGAAGAAAATCAAGTTTGACTCACCGGCTGCAGCAGCTGCACGGCGCCCTCTGCTGGTCACTTATGGAAACAGCAACTGACCCATTCTGTTAAAATAAAGTCAAACAAAAATAAAAATAAACCCCCGTAGGAGATCAGATCGATGATCCTATGAAGGTGATGAGTTTAGCTTTCCTGTTTCCACCTGAGATAAAAACACAGTCCGCAGTGCTGACGTCATCGCTCAGGTAAACAAAAGCCTCCACCTGAAGGAGTGGCTCCTGCAAAACTGCCAGTTTATTTCACCACAGCTGTTACACACACACACACACACACACACACACACACACACACACACACACACACACACACACACACACACACACACACACACACACAGTTGCCTTCACTGAACCACGGAGAAACCAATCCCTCCTTTAAAGTTCCTCCTTCAGGAGCCTAAAGACAGGAAATGTAGAGAAATTAATTCTATTGAGGTTTTTAACATTCAGCGAACAAATAAAGATTATTTATAACTCATTAAATTGAAATGCATAAGTTTATTAGGGAGTTAATTGTATATTCTTCTATTTAAAGAGTTAAACTGTGAAAAATTACAAAAGTCTTTAAGTCATTACGGAACATTTATCTCTATTATCTCAGTTATTTTGGAGCTGAAATGCGTTTCAGAAAAGATTTTTCAGGTTCATTAGACGGTGTAATTTCAGAGTTTTGGGCGGACAGTGAAGGCAGCAGAAGCTCCGCCCCCTCGGCAGGTGTTATCCTCACCTGGTCCGGCTGGTTTCATCAGGCGGAGACAAGAAGCTGCAGAAAGGTAAGAGTTACTGAAAACAACGATTGTTTTTACATTTAAGGCTTTAATGTCTTTAGATCTGAGCTGATGATGCGTTCAGGAGCCAGGAGACACCTGTCTGACACCACCTGTGTGTGTGTGTGTGTGTGTGTGTGTGTGTGTGTGTGTGTGTGTGTGTGTGTGTGTGTGTGGTGTGTGTGTGTGTCCTCAGGATGGCTCGCCTCGCGCTTTTCCTCCTCCTGGTTTGGACCGGATCCCAGCTGGCTGGAGCTTTAGTCTGTGAGTCTCCAATTTTTTCTTATTAAACGTAAAAAACACGAAGTTTGAATCAGAAAATAAACGTTTAATCAGAGGAGAACGCCACTGCTGCCCCTAGTGGTCAGAGCGTGTAACTGCAGCGGACACCGGAAATCCTGTATTGTTGTAAATGTTTATTCACTGCGTTACATTCAATCCATGTTTATAATCCATCATGAAATATATTTAAAAATGATTATTTTTGATGATCCTGTATCTAAAAGTTCTTATTCTTTTCTTTATTTTATAAATAATCAGTTTTTTCAAAAGTTTTTTTAATATGTAAATGTCATCAAAAGCTGAATTTCTCAGTTATGAGTTTTATCTCATAATTAATATTTTTTTCAATTAACCACAGTATCGTGTCTTTGTTGTAATGTAATTTTATTTATATCCTGTTTACATTGAAACCTTTTTAATTTGACATCATGTTCATTAAGTTTATTAAGCAGGAGAGTTTTTATTGTTTCACTGTGGGACGTTGCTTATCTTTGCAGGACAGATTAGTTCATGTTTATGAATAAACTGTCTATAAAAGTAAACAGTGTGAACAGCAGAGAGATTTTGAGCATCAGGACTTTTTTCTATCAAAGAAAGAAATAACAGCGCAGCCTCAGAGGAGAAGGCTGCTAGATGTTTAATGATTACAGCTTCAATCTTTGATATTAAACCTACAATATTCTGACATTTAAATGGAAGATAAAAACATTTCCTGAACTGGAGCATTAAAGCTCCTCTCTTCTTTTTCTGCTTGTGCATGTTGGTGAAGCTTCCTGTTTGTAGATTTAATCGTTTTTGCAGCATCGTTTCTCGCCTGCATGTTCCAGATTCCTCCACACATCGCTCTCCCTTCCAGCTGTAACCAGGGTTGAGCTCAACGATGTTTCAGGAGGAAAAAAACTACAAGCTTGTTCATCTGCAGCTGAAACCTCATCTGGTTGTTCACGAAACGATTTTCAATTTGAACTGAAAAGTGTGGCGTACGTTTTTGTTCCCTCCCCTCGGTCAACACTCTGCAGCTCTCCTCTTGGGATTCTGAGCTTCTCTCCCCTTCCACACTCAGCTCCTTCAGACTAGCCAGCAGGAATTAGCAAACACCGAGAATCTGCTCCACTCATCATGGCAGCTGCTTCTCTGGTGAAACGGTTGTTAAAGAAAGAGCAGGAGTTTTTAAAGAGACAGTGGTCCAATTTCATCTAGTTAAATTACAAAGTTATTTTTCATATATATATAATTTTTATAATAACTGATGTTATCATAGTTACTTTACTATGCTATAAAATGTTGTATAAAACTTTCCCTTTTAAATGTTTTTCATTTCTGAATAATTTTTCTCTCAGTAGAATATTAAAACATTACTGAACAATTTATAACTATTCAAATACAAGTTGCATTTATTGATTATTATAAATGATGATGTTTAGAGACCATTTGCAGTAATATAATGTTAATGACATAATAATGCAACAACACGTAAATAAACTTTAAAATCTAATCAACATTTAATGCAGGAACTGAGAGACATTTCAAATATCCAAAATAAATAAAGCAATAGAAACATTAAATAAATGAATTATAAAATCTCCAAAAACAAAATTGTGTAGTTGAGACTAAAACTCCAAATTTAATTATTTTATGGACCAGAGATCAACAGTAAATTATAGGAATGATTGAGTTTGTTTGAATCTAAACTGTGACTGATTGATTGGTCTGTTGTTTACCCAGAATGCATTGTTTCTGTCTTCTGCAGTTGAGATCCACATCCGGGCGATCGAAGGTCGGCCCGTCACTCTGCCGTGCCGCGCGCCCGACGTGGCGGGACCCATCAAGTACCTGGAGTGGAGCCGGACCGACCAGAAGATGTCCTACATCATCCTGTACCAGGACCAGCACTTCCACCCGGACTTCCAGGACCGGGCCTTCCGGGAGCGAGCCGAGCTGCTGGACAAGGAGATGAAGGAGGGCCAGGTGTCTCTGGTGCTCAGGAACACCTCGGCGGCCGACAGCGGCGTGTACGAGTGCCGGGTGGTGCAGGCGCTGGGGACCCGCCAGAAGAGATCGGTTCTGAACGCTGAGCCCGACATGGTCATCAAGCTGAGAGTCAGTCCAGAACGTGAGTCTGGGCCGAACGCCTCGGATCTGATGGCCGGGGCTTTACTCTCACTGCTGGCTCTGATCTGCAGGTCAAATCCCTGACGCCGCCGCCGCCGACCGCGCTGATCCGCAGGAGGTACCAGGAAGAAGACGGCGACGTCCAGCGGTACCTGGCCTTCCTGCTGCCGGTCGTCGCCGTGGCGGTTCCTCTGCTGGCCGTGACCACATGCAAGTTCTTCAGGTCCTTTCTGATGAAGAGCTACAGACCCGCCTCCAAGTGACCCAGAGACGAACAACCAGGAGGAAATGCTGCTGACAACTTCCTGTTGGCTGTGGACTGGGACGCCCTGCGGCGCAAAAACTCCAAATATACCCGAGTATTTTTAGTCCAGTTTCTCTAAGTTCACCTGAAATAAGACAAAGTTAACTTAGCAGCTGTAATGAAGGGCGAGCGTCAGACTGACGACACATTTAATGGACTTTTAGAGCAATTTAGAATAAATATGATTATTTACTGAAAGTCATTTCATGACAACATTCATAAGGTTTCTTCATGTTCATAACAAGTGTCAGTCTTATGCACAGCCTTTACAAAACAGCGCCACCTTCATGTCAGGAGGAGCAGAAGCAACGAGTTCAGAGACCAATCCTTTCGTTTCAGGTTGTTCATGTTGATGTTGGGGTTCAGTTGAAATTCGACGGTTTGTGAGAGTTTAAATACATCAAGTGATCCTGAAAACGTTTGAGAAACTCTGATGTAAAATCTTGTTTAACTCAATAATTTCTTAGAATTGATTTTATAATCTACTGATTCCCCTGGCAGATTATTTCACCTTTAAGTGAACTATGACTTTATCAATATTAAGGACTGACTGACCTAAAACAAGCTGCTGAAATGTTTCTTGTCAGTTAGTTTTGTCTTATTCAGCTCTACTCGAATATTTGCACTAAAAATACTTGTTAAATTTGGTGTTTTTCAGTTCAGTCTGGGTTTTACTTGATGCTTTTTCCTACATTTGGTTCAGAGGTTCTTATGCTGAACAATAAATAGACGGTTCTTTAATGATTCTGTCGTTCATGAAGATGATTGTACTGCTTCGGGTCGGTGATGGACGCAGGTCGTCGCTCTGCAATGCATTCTGGGAATATTGTGGCCTGACCAGCTGTGTTTTGATCAAATGTTTTGCACTAAGATCAGGAGATTTTTAACTCTATCAGAAACACTCTTACTGTAATAATTGAGAGATAATTGTTTTTATTGTTGGAGAAGTGATGCCCTGTGATTTGGCATTAAGAGGTTTTTAAACCGGTGTAACAGAGTTTTCTTTAAGTGGACCAAATGTTGTACTTGTCCAGACGGTGTTTTCAGAGCTGCTATTGAGCGATTTCTGTTTCAAACCATTAAAATATGAAGGTCTCATCCTGGTTTGGTGTTTTTTAACATGTTCCTGTCGGCAGCAGGAGCCTCCAGCCTGCCAGCAGACTTCCTGTTCCCAGAGGATGTTGTGTGTCGGATCATCTCGACGTGAATGAGAGGAAACTGACTCCATCAGAACCGGGATAATATCCGGGTTTAGTGGATTTAGTGAAACGTCTGATTGGATGACCAGACCTCAGGGATAAAAACCTCATGATGTTGAAGCATCTTAACGATGGAAACATGAACTTATTGAAGCGAGACAAAATTAAAAATGTTTGTTCATATTTCTGGTGTCTGCTGGTTACTGTTGGGATCTTAACACATTAATACTTTACCTGAAACTGAAGCCTGGCTCAGGAGCTGCAGCTAGCTTAGCCTCCAACGTAGCATGAAGCTCCAGTGTAATGATCCCATTCATTATGGCGGCGTTCCACAGGGTTTTCTGTTTGGTCCCCTGATGTTTGCCTTTGATTTTTCTTCCTTTTGGTCCTAAATCAATTAATTAAAGGTAAAACAATTTCATATTTACGTTTTAAAATTGCTGTACTGATCATTTTTCCACTATATTTGTCATTTAAGAATCAGATTTATTGACCAAATTCTGATCAAAATCAACAAATTTGACTCCTGCCCACAAACCGTATCGATGCGGCTTCTGCTAAACCAAATCAACTAAAGTCAGAGTTTCTTTCTTTGTTAAAATAAGATGAATTAAAAACAGTTTTTCATTCTAACAGCAGATCTGAAGGGCAGTTCATTTTATCATTTTTCCATCTGTTTTCTGTAATGGGCCATTTAACTTTTCTTACTTTAAGTTTTCTGAAATAAAAAGTCTTAAAGGTTCTTATGAATATTTTCTCTCTGAGCCGAAGTTCTGCTGTGGTTCTGTAGAACCGGATCAACTAACAGTTTGGGTTTAGTTCAGTGGTTCTCCAACATTTTTATTTAAAACAGTATAATGTTGTTTAAATATGTTGCTCTGTTGCTGTTGGGTTACCAGTTCTTGATTTAGGGATTTGTAGTTTTGAAAGGTTTATTTCTTGAGTTCTTGAGTTTTCATCTTTTAATGCAAAAAAAACCTTCATTTCTTTAATGTACTTTTGTTGAAGCTGTTGGATTTAGACATCATTGTATTTTTTACTCTCTTTGTTGGCTTTAAAGTAAAAGCTTTTTTGATTCATTCATTGTTTTCTGCAGAAATATGAACTTCATCACATCCAGGAGTTTAAACCACTGTTTAAAACATATTTGAAATTAAACCCAGAGAAAACTGCAGCACATAAAACCCTCCTGATTCTTTGCTCCAGTTTTGTGGTTTTGGAAAAACCACAGAGAGTTTGAGACCTTGGCAGCTGGTCTGTTTCACTCGGAGGTTTTACTGCAGAGCATCACAAGATGATCGTCTTCTTGATGATTTCTTCATCTCAGATCCTTCTGATCCTCCTCCATGCTGACCCGGAGTGGCTGTGGTGACCAAACAGTGCATGGTGGTGCATGCAACACTAATCACTTCATGCTCTGTTCACCTGTACTGGAAGAACATGATTGGCCTCTGAGCCTTTCAGAGGAGAGGAAACTCCTGCAGCTCATCTTCTGACCCAGTTATCAATCAGATCCTTTTATTTTACAGGCTGACAAGTTTGAGAATCTCTGATTTCAAAGTTTTATTGGCAAAGGGAACATTCACAAACATTTCAACAGAAACTTTATTCTTGAGGAAAATGTCAGGAACTTTTATAGAAAAGTGAAAAAACTAAATTTGAAAATGTAAATAAACCAAAACAGGTTGAAGTCAGACTGGATCAGTGAAAACAGGAGCAGAGAGTGACGACATCGTCTCTTCAGTTCAGAAATGATGCTCTGTGATGACATCATAATCATCATCCAATCCCTGATCAGCCTGGGTTGGAGGAGCTGCTGCCATGGAAACGGAGAGGTCACATCCTGGAGGTCAAGAAAGGTGAAGCATGACAACAGGAAATGGCCTGACAATCAAAAGCAAAGTGCTACCTTCAGCTCTCTGACGGTGCAAAGACGTCAGCAGCAGCAGAGTGGAGATGCAGTACGGACAGAAGACCAGCAGGTGGCAGAGCAGCCTGATGTTCCTGGAGGCCGAGGCAGGAGCTGTGGGGGGAGTTTCTCTAGTGGGACCAACAGTCACTGTGGGCTTTCCTGCACAGAGTTCATCAATTCTGGGGTCAGAGGTCACGTTTACCTGGACAGTAAGTTGAGCTGATTGGTTCTGAACAACAACAGACTCTAATCACTGGTTTCACCATCTTCTACCCTCCAGTTTGGTTTTCTTAGATAATCTCAGTTTTACTGTGGAAACATATTTCATGTTTAGAGTCGGTGACAATTCAATGTATCCAACTGATGAAGGACAGAACAGAAATGTCTTTAGGAACCGTGATGGATAGATCTATGTTCAAAAGAGAAGCTGATGACCCCTGACCTTTGACAGAGACCCTGCTGGATGGAGACTCTCCAGAACCGCTGATGCTACATTTATAGAGGCCTTCATCAGAGCTGGAAACATGGAGGAGGGTCATGCTGCCTGCTGATCCATCACCAATGAAGGAGCCATCTTTATAGAAAGCAGCTGGGAGGTTGTGGGTTGGATTCCTTGCTCTGCAGCTCAGAGTGACGTCATCTCCCTCCATCACAGGGAGGACAGGACTCTGCAGGATCACTGATCCTTTCAACACAGAGACAAACTACAGCATTTCATCCATTTCCACACAGCAACACTAACTCCACAGTCTGATCTTACCAGAGACAGAGAGCTGGATGCTGCAGCTGCTGCTGCTGCTGCTGCTGCTGCAGCTGCTGCTGCTGCTGTTGGAGGATCCAGACTCACACCAGTACAGACCAGTGTCATGTTCAAAGATGCTGCTGGTTTTACAGATAAATGCATCTTTACTCCACCATCCATCTCCACATGGCTTCCTGGTCTCTCTGCTGGTGTTTCTCCTCACTGTCCATCCAGCTGATCTGTTTTCATCCTCACAGATCAGAGTCACTGAATCTCCTTCAAAGAACTGGGATCTGCTGGGACTCACAGTCAGATGAACTGAAATAATAAAACCTTTCATTAGTTCCAGCAACAGGATCCAGTCTAGATCTAGAGTTATCAGAATCAGGTTGTAACCTTGGTTTGTTGAGCGGCTCAGCAGAGAGATCAGAGCTGCAGAGAAATGACTCTCAGGTTAGTTGGAGCTTTAATCAGCTCTGCAGTGGGAAGCAGCAGTGATCGTCTCTCAACATTTCCACACATCCAGCAGATGGACTCACCCAGCAGCCTGTGGACAGATGTTCCCTCCATTCTGCAGCTGGATCCAATGAGACCAGCAGCAGTTTGACTCGCTGAGAACAAACTCTTCCTCTTCCTGGATCTCTGCGTCTCTTTTAGTCGACCACAAAGTTTTTGCTGAACATTTTGAACATTAATAAAAACATTTCTTGATCACATCTTGATGCTCAACTTAAAGACTTTTAACTTCAGTTTCCTGATTGTCAAATCATCTCAAACTTCTGCATCTTTTATTTGGTTTAAACTTTTGCTCTTGTTTCTTTTCTCTTATCTTGTTGCTTCAGATCAGCTCAATTCATTCGTGTTGCTTTAAATAACCAGAGTTTCCAGCAGGTTCAGACCAGAGTTTCTGTCTTCAGCATCATTTGACAACATTTGGACTCAATGAAAAGATCCTGCAGGAAAACATTCAGGTTTGAAAACATCATCTTGTGAGTTCACTGTAGAAATCTCCTTGAATGTTGATCGTCTCTACAGATATTTATCTTTCAGTAGAAACACTTTTCTGTGTTTTAAACAACCGTGAAACTCATAGACTGTCTTCAGGCCGTCAGTTTCTGAATATCCATCCACAATATGGGGC